ACCCGCGGCGACGGAGCCCTCGTCCTCGACGTTCTCGTCGTCGACGTTCTCGTCGTCGACTTTCCCGTCGTCGGCGTTCTCGTCGCCGGCAGACCCGTCTTCTTCACCCTCCGCGTCTTCACCCGAATCGGCCTTGGTGGACTCGGCCGAGGTCTCGCTGTAGTTGTCGGAAAAATCCAAGACCTGCAAAACGGCTTGGGACGACGACGCAACAGGAGGCGGCGATGGCGAAGGCTGGGGCGACGAGGAGGGCGCACGGGTGCGACTACTCGCCAAGTGCGCGACGTCGATCTCGTGGTCCTCGAGGGGCTGGAAGGCTTGATCCTGGATGGTCGCGGGGTCCGACTTGTCGAATTCCTGGGCCTTCTCGATCTCCCTCTGGAACTGCTTCTCCATCTTTTCCATCTCGCGATAGAAAAATGGATCGAAAAAGGCAGGAGGCGCCGCGAACCGCTCGTTCGCCTCGCCATCCAACAAGTCCCCGTGGGCCAAGATCATCCGAACACCCTTGCGGATGTCGGCCATCTCGGCGGCGTCGATCTCGGTCGCGGTGTGGACGAACATCGCCTTGATGCGTTCGTCCGAGCCGTCGTCGAAGTGCTCCTTCAGCTGACCAACGAAATCACGGAACTGGCCAATGGCCAGGACGCGGATCTCGTTGGCCGTGCGAAGAAGCCCGCCGTACGCGTCCAAGGTGTCGGCGAGACGGTTGGCGGACTTGTTGAGATCTGAAGACGTCGTCAGAAACGATCAAAAATAGAAATGAATGGCAAGAGTGGACTCTTACCGTCCGCGCTCATCTGCGCGATGTACCCGAAGCGTTGCCCCATATACAGCTGCTCCGCGGGCTTGTAGCCGTTGGTGCAAGTCTGTTTATAGAGCACGCACGGGGCGCACCGATTGCCGTGGCGCCCGTCGACGCTCTTGAAGCAGACGCGCTGCCGCGTCACGCACATCGCGCAGGGCCTTGGCGCGACCTCCTATGAAAAGGGGATCAGTCGTCGAGGCATGGAAGAAAAAGATAAAGAAACGCACGAAGTCGGTTGGCACCTCGATACCGGCCCTTTCCAACTTCCCCGCGAACCCTTGGCGTGCCACCGAAAGGAGCGCCTCGGTGTCGTAGGCGGCGGGAGTGAACGGAGCTCGGGGCGTGGGGGCCGACGCCTTCGCAGGAGTCTAGAAACAGTCAAGTCAGTAAAAAGTCGACGACCAGAAAAAGTCGCGACTCACCGAGTCAGATTTCTTCTTGGCCGCCGCAACGGACTTTTCTGCCTTCTGAGCCTTGAGCTCGGCCTTGGCCGCCGCAACACTCCGCTCGCGACCAAGGGTCGCGGCCACCCTGCCCAACTCACTGCGCGGAGTCTTGGTAGTGGCGGGGGCCGCCTGGGCAACCTAGAAAAGAAAGAAAAACGAGTTAGTCGACGTCTGGGAATCAAGTCTGTGTCTCACCTTAGCCACTGGGGTCGGGGTAGTCGTCGCTCGCGGGGCGCTCGCCTTGCGACTGGCCTCCACCTTCGGCACCGGATGGGGAGGCACGGATTTGGTCGACTTGGATGATCCATCCGCGACCTTCTTGATTGGCTAAAAAGCTGGATTAAGGGGCGTGGTCTGGGAAAAAGGAGCCGGCTCACCTTGGGCTTGACGCGGGTCTCGCTGACCTGCTTCTTGGCCACGACGAAATCGCCGGTCTCCTCTCCGCTCTCGGAGGTGTCGTCCATGACGATGACGGACGGGGCTACGAAAGAATGAGTAAACGACAGAGGGGGACAAGAGGAAAACGTACTCAGATTCGATCGCGCTTTCCCCTTGGACTTGGGCCCCTGTCAAAAACAAACCAACCATGAGACAAAGAATCGCGGTCGACGAACTGGGTCACTTACCTGAAGGACCAGCTCGTCGGCCGATGACGCGTCTCCCTCCTGGACCCCCTCGTCGTCGACATCCATCGCAGTGTCGGCGACGGCGGCGGCTTCCTCATCGCTGAGGGACTCGGGTTGCACGGGCTGTGCTTGGATCCGGGCTGGGAGGGACCAAGTGGTTAGTCTAAAGATCAATGAAATAAGACATAGGATCACACACCTGCGTGCGTCTTCTTGTGGACGCGCTTGGGAGGTGACTCCTGTGGAATAGGGGCCGAGGTAGCGGCTACGACAAGTCAGTACCCGCGACTCTGGTGAATGAAAGGAAAGAGCCACTTACGAGTAGGCGCGTGGGACGACGCCTTGGGCTCCTCCGCAGGAGTCGCCTTGGATCGCTTCCCCTGCGACTTCTCGCTCGACTTCTTGGCGACGGCGACCTTGCTGCCCGCGACGGCGGCAGGGGCCTGCGGCTTGGAGCCGTCACCCTTCCCCTTCTGCTTGGCAGGACGGGACGACGAAGGGGCGGCGACTTGTTCGGTTGGAGCCGCCTGGGGGTCGATCAGAACATAGTAAACGAATGAAACAGAGTACACGTACGGGTTCAACGACTCGCTTGCGTTTCTTGGGCGGCGACGACTCCTCGACGGGAGCGTTGGTGGTCAAGGGCGTAGACGCCGGCTAGCCCTTACGTTAGTGAAAAGAATGGAAGGCCAAAGCGAACAGGCGCGGCAATCATTGATCGCCGTGACTGCTCGCTCCAGCGGGCTTAGAACGGAGCTCACCTGCTGGATCTGGCGGACGTCGACGGCCATCTGCCGCAACATCATGTTGTAGGCCTCAGGGCTAGGCAGGCGGTGAGTTGGATCGACAAGCCATGAGAGAGACATTGACTAACGGCATGAACTGCCGCCAGTCGATGGCAGGCGGGTTTGCTCCCGGGACAGCTGATTCGGTGACGGCTGATGGACGGTTAGCGTGGTTGAAAAGTCGCGGTAATCGTCCTGGGCGTCACTCACGGTTGTTGTCTTGGGGGCGGGGGCTCTGGTCGGGCGCGGACATGGTGGTCGAAAAGCAAGAGTGTCTCGTACTAGGGAGACTCTCGACCCTGAAAATTGAGGGCATTTATATGGTGAACATGCCGGAAGAAGTTTGATCGCGGCAGATCACGAAAGGAACCGAACAACCAAATGAATAAGACGTGGGAACATAACTCTATGTCTCCGCGGCTTTAATAATAAATAAACGAGACGTCGACTGTTGGACTTAGACCTGACGCAGTGAGACTGTCGCGGGATTGACCAGGAGGTCAAAATTAGTGTTCCTGGGAGATGATAGGCTGGCTACCAGACGCGCTCTGCACCAGCTCTGTAAGGGCGTATTTTTGCGCTTTTTACAGAGTTTACTCTTGAACCACTCGGTGTATCGTGTCGCGGTTAACAGTGTTGCGCTCAGTAGGACTTATGGGTCTACTGCCCAGTCGACGACTGTGGATAGTGTCGACGATAGCAAGGCAGTCAGACCACTACTGTGGAACTGGTCTTATGAGTCTACACCAGGCTCAGGGCCATTAGTGACGAACGCTGGGACCGCGACCATTCCCCAAAAAGGGATATGTCGTTGCGTCGACTTCTCAATAAGGGTCATTCTCTGCAGATGGGAACTTGGGCTGAAGGGCTGAGCAATGCGCGACGTTCTCAATAAAAGAACTACTACTGGACAGGACTTGGCGTTACAAGACTTAAACCATCTTGTCGCGGCAACTCCCGGTTTTGAGTTGGACGTTTTCCTCAGATCATGCCACGACGACGACTTGTCACATGTCAGGATCCATTCGATCACGGGACATTGTGGACGCGTCGCGGCGACACTTCCAAGTGTCACGGCGAGTCGCGCCCATATTCAAACACACTAAAATCGATACGGCTAGATCCGTGAACCGAGCCATGTGGGAGGCGACTGGCGTGCCTAGAGCCATACGGCTTCTTGGGGCGCCCACGTTGGTCTCACATGCCAAGACATACCCGTTGGCCAATCCAGCACGTCGTATTCCAAAAGTATGACGCGGTGGGTTGACCCACATCAAAAGTATCATATGGACTATGGGGCGGGGTCCTGATCACTCAGGACCTGTCCGATCGTTCAACTTTTCAATTACCCTAAAAGGCAACCGATCTTAGATAGCGTAGCTACTATGCAGTTGTACAGGACTTTACTAAGCAGCGTCGTAGACAGTATAAGTAGCACGTCGTCTCTTTGTATTAGAGAGCTTTCCCCCGGACTGTGAATCACTCTCATATCAGATTGTTTTGTACAATTTGCGTGCCGCGTGATTCCACCCTAAGAAGTTCTGCCACCCCTGCCCGGTCGCGACGAGTTGCTCCCTGAGCACTTGTAGCTACTGTGATTTGAGTTTGAGTTGAGACATCAGAAAGTCGGATTCGCCGCATCTGGTTTAGTCGCGGCATTTAGTGTCGTCGCCTTCGGGCTTTGTTGAGATCGTTCCACACCTCTAGCTTGGCAGTGCGTCGACTAGTTGTGCTCGGGTTGTTTTGGTCAGTTGGCAGTGCGTCGACTTGAGAACTTTGGTTCCACACTTCTTGCTTGGCAGTGCGTCGACAAGTTGTGCTCGGGTTTTGGACATTGGATATTGGCTGTTAGTTGGCAGTGCGTCGACGCGGCATTTCGGTTTACTAGTTGGCAGTGCGTCGACTCAGTACTTTTGGTTGTGTCAGTTGGCAGTGCGTCGACTCGACATTTTGGTTTACTAGTTGGCAGTGCGTCGACTCAGTATATTGGTTGTATCGGTTGGCAGTGCGTCGACTTGATATTTGGGCTTTGCGTCACCATCTAGACGCTGTCGCTACAAGGGATCTTAATACTTCGTATTAAGCTCTGACTTGTTATATTGTTGTTTGTGGATTGGATTAGTGTTGGTTGTGCTCGTATAGAAGATATTGGTTGAGATACCATTGTTTGCTATATATAAATTCTTGTCGTCGACTTCGTCTCCGCGACTATTGGATCTGCGTCTATTGAGAGTTGTGATACTGGTGCTCTGTCCACCCCGAAGCCCTCGCATCTTTCACACACTGAGAAGCTGATTACGAGGAGTGTGAACGTGTTTTATATTTGGGTTTACTTTCATAGTAGATTCACTTGTGAGCACGCCCTCAGCATTTCATCGGTGTGACGGATATCAGCTGGGGTAGGGCAGTCACGGGCAAGATGGCCCGGACTGCCGCAGCAGAAGCAGACGCGGCGGACATCTCTGCGGAGCCGGGTCCAATCTACCTCCATTGAGACAGGGGGAGGAAGGGGAGCTGGGGCCGGGCGGGCAGCGGGGGCCGGTGCTACAGCAGGGAACACCGGGGCACAAGGACGAGGGGTGACCACAAGGGGTGCTTGGGGTGCAGGTGCAGACTGCCCTCGACAGGCCTTGGCCGTGAGCTCTGTGTTGTACTGGCGGAACGCACGAACACGCCACTCGGCATAGTTGGTGAGACTTGGGGGGTTGCCGGAGGTGGTGATGGCTTGATTGATTTTGGGATCCAAGCCAGTCCTGTACTTGGTCACCTTCACCAAGTTGTCTGTATATCCGGCAAGGTCCATGAGGTCATCAAACTTGTCCATGTACTTGAAGACGTTGCGGGAACCGATATAGTAGGAGTGGGTCTCCAACTTTGCCAGGGCGTGGTCCTGCTCGTTTTCCTTGACAAACCGGAGCTTGAATTCCATGACAAAGGAACTCCAGGTGGGGAATGGAAAGAGGGGGTGTTCTGACATGCGCTCCGACCAGGAGGCGGCTGAGTCCTTGGACATGTAGGAAAGGGTGAAACGTAACACCCATTCCTCCGACACTACTCTGTTCACATGGAAGGCTTCTGGGAGGAGGCGCCAGTACTGCTTGACTGAGTGTAGGAACGTCTTGCCCTGTGTGCGGTCCCCATCGAACGCAAATGGGGGGTTGGGACAAATAAGGGGTCGGGGTTGGCTTGTTGGCCGGCGGATACACCTGGACCCGCTGCCGGAGAGGGAGCAGGGGCAGGGGCAGAGGGTTGTTGCTGTGCGATTATGAGGTTGTGGAGGAGTCCCTCCATCCGTTGCATGGCTTCCTCCAGATTTGCAAGCCTTTGTTGGGGGTGGGAGGGGTCTTCCTCTTCTTCCATGTGGGACATGCTGGTTGCAGAGGGGGAGGAGGGGACAAGGTTGGGAGTGAGAAGCAAATAACGCTGTCGATGGTCTTCACAAGCTTGTCCAGTTATCCCTAGGAACATGGTTTCTGCTCTAAGGGCAACCTCAAGGCCCGATGTCAGAGTCCTGGCAAGGGAGAATCCAAAGGTGATTAATAGTGGTAGCTAGGTACAAGACCAGCATACCTGGCAAGGGAGAATCCAAAGAGAAACTGTGTTGGGGATTCTCCTTTCCAGGCGCCATCTTTATATGGTACAAGAACAATAGACCACGCAGCGACAAACAAAGAACAATGGGAACAATATGTACAATGGCCATGACGGAACAATGGGAGACGGAGACAATAGGAACAAATGGGCACCTGACCATGTGCCCATCAAGGGGAAGCGCTGAGCACAATCACATGCCAGATCAAAGGCAAATTGGTCAGAAGCGGGGGTTCCCCTGACAGGTGATTGCTTCTGCGCCGATAAAGCCAAGCGGTAGCACAATTTGTGGCAGATGCATTAGTGCAGCACGCCTGTTGAGCTGAACAGTCCATGGAGCCCAAATTGAGCAGGGTGCAGCCCGATCTGGCCCTGGGCTGCATGCGGCGGATACGTCCACCCTGCACACCTGGCGGCGGCTGTGGACATGGCAAGGCCCTGTCTGCCCTGTCTGTCTGTTGTATGAGATATGGGAGCGTCTCTCAGACCAGTCTCACATCACAAACACTGGAACCCTGCTTTTGACCAATCCAATATCAGTGCAGATGGCCCAAGCCCTGAATGGATCCCCCTACAATTCTTTGATTTCTGCACACATTGGAATTTGGAGTAGCTACTATCAGTGAGAAGCAGAGAGCATGGTCACATATGTGCTATGGAAGGCTCAACTCCACGGTGGGACAACACCCACAGGCAAGTACTGAAAGGCTGAGAGCATCAGGAATGCGGAGGGTGCCTGCCAAAATTTCAGTCACCTGATGTTGCCCACGGATGACTGGCAAGATGGCATCATGACGGTCACAGGGAGAGCCAGGAGTGGATGGATCTGCCACTGGTATCGGGGCCTGCTGCAGATGCTTGATGCCCATTTGCAGAGCTTTTGATGCGGAGGATGGCCTAAAGTGCGGAGGGTACCCCCCCTGTTAGGTATCCAAATCAGTCAAATTTTGACCCCTAACAGGGGGGGGGGGGGGTACTCTCCGCGGCGGATGTTCCTTAGGTGTTAGTTTGACTTGACATGACATGCCAAGAATCTGATATCCCTTTGTCATATTGGACTGGATTCCCCTGTCACAGTGGACAACAATGTGCGGTTTCATGCTCTTCTTTGCTGGATATTTCCTGCTCAATATCATAAATCATGTAGAACTGGGTCTCGACCGTGCAATCCAAGGATGATTTCGAAATTTTTGTGCTGGAATCCGTAACTGGTCTTCCTGGCTACTTTGCTGTCAGTCCTGTGCTCTGCAGTGTTTGTCACAACCTGCCCTCTGAGCAACAATCTAGATTCATAGTGCCGTCTCCGCTGACCTTGTCTGGCACCCCAGGGAGCTCCAATTCATCACGTAAAAGTGCTTCCAGGCCCCCTCTGGAGGCCATCAAACAACCCCCTGGAAGCACTGATCAGAGGCCATCACTGGAGGCGCCTTCCTCATTGGTACCCAGCGGGCCATTTGTCTACTGCATGCATGGTGCACTGAGCATGGCCTTAGGGGGTTGTGATGTGCTCTGGTAGTTATTATTTAGGCCTAGACAGTGTTTTAGCTCACAAAACCCTGTATATATTGCTGCTGGTTGGTGTATCATCACCACATAAAATCTGTGGTTTGTGCAGCAGAGCACTCCACCTGTGTATGGAGAGGCAAGCTCAGGTATTTGAATGCTGTAACACACAAGTAGCTCATGTATAAGCACCACAATGTAATTTAGCAGAAAAAGCAGTCTGCAGCCTCCATGGCCTCCAAGAACAGTGAAAATAGGTGATGATGAGGCCAGACCATCTCAGATAATACTGAAACATCTCTGTGCACTCTCAGACTTTGTTTGTCAGACACTTGAGCTTAAAAAACACGTACTGGAGCACCTAACATGACATGCCTCCACCGCCTCCAGGGTGCAAGACAAAGAGCAGTATTTTGATTCAGCTGCACAGGGAGTTATTTTGCCCACTTCCCAACATTTTCAGATGCTCAATCAGGCCTTTGCTTACGTGTGGGACACTCTCTGTGGGGCTGCAGATGAATTTTAGCAGAAAGCATAGGTGGCCTCCAAAGCCTCTCAGTTCCATGACTGCAGGCCTTTGTTTTGATCGGTTGCTTTCTGGTGCATTTACAAGTTGAAAGTCTCAACAATGCCAGGATTTGCGCCAATTTATGCTGGCAACAGTGCATGGAAAGTAGCAGAGGTGGTCTCCACAGCCTCCTTGGAGGCGCTGGAGGCGCATGTAAGATCCAATCAATATCATCAATATCACCATTATCCTCAAGGCCATTAATATCATCAATATCATCATGGATCATTGGTAGATTGATCAGCCAATCAAATGATGGATAACCACCTAATATTGAGTATTTTAATTCTTGAGAGGCACAGACTACATGTATGCTCATACTGAAACTGGATTATTGGTCCCAGAGCATGTCCCAGCAACATATTACACTCTTGTCTCAAGGACATATGATTTGAATTTGGAGTTTACAAATGAGCTGAAAGTAGTGGACTTTGCATCTCATCTGGGACCAATAATCCAGTTTCAGTATGAGCATACATGTAGTCTGTGCCTCTCAAGAATTAAAATACTCAATGTTATGTGGTTATCCATCATTTGATTGTCTGATCAATCTACCAATGATCCATGATGATATTGATGATGCAGACTTTCAGCGAGTGCTCTTGCTCAAAATTTGTCTGAGATGCTTCCTGATACTGTTAATTGAAATATGTGATTTGAGATTGGCCATCAGGTCTCAAAATTCTTAGCCAAGAACTACATCGCAACTTGCTTGCAGAGTGCAAGCGCTTTACGGCGATGGATAATGCCGGTGAGTGCACGTGCCCAGTGCCCGTCTAGCTCAATTGGTAGAGCGTGAGACTCTTAAGTTCCTACAGACAGTTGCATCTCAAGGCTGCGGGTTCGATCCCCACTGTGGGCTAGCTTGTCGTTTTGCTTCATCATCCTGGTAACCTGTCATTCTCCTTTTCTTTGCTTTCCGATGCAAACCCTCTTTCTATATTCTGTTTGAATCTTTGTGCTTCTCCTCCAGTGTACGAAGCGGTCACAAAGTCATTTCCAGATATCAATGTCCAGCACACGTCACTCAAGCAAACTTCTTATAATTAAAACACTAATTATTCTCAGCAAGTGTAGATGATCGATCGAATCAGTAAGCATGCATAATTTAGGTAAAGAGAGTAAGGATGTTCGGCCGTTCAAGATCCAGTGTTGCAGTCGTCGGTACCGTCCGGGCAGTGCGGGATGATGGTCTCTGTCGCACCGGCTATTGCAGTCCCAATTAGCTCAACTGAGATCGGATGCAACTGGAGATGGAGACGCACGATCAGTCGTCAGCGACGGGAACGGCAGCGGGCACGAAAGCTGGAGGTCTTTCGCGGATTTCGTAGCCGGGAAACTAGGGGGGGAGGAAAATTGTCAATTCCGGAACGAGGAGTGCCCAGAGAAAGCCGGCGAATCACCTGGCACGCTTGACGGGGGTGTTGACCACATTGGGGACGACGGCGGAGCAGTCTACCAGGTCCCCGCGCTCATGGCCGAGGATGGCCATCTTGGACATGGCCGCACGGAAGCTGGAGGCCATGAAATCCTGCTTGTCTGCGGACGTGACGTCAGGAAACTGGGCTCGGGGATGGCGGGCCGTGATATTGCGCACCAACGAATGACTGCCAGATACAGGCTGTGCGGTGGTCCCGGGCCAGGGCAAAGTCAGACTGCAGTCGCAGTTCACCGACATTGTCACCCTGTCCGATGGGCAGGGGAGATGCGACCTCGCCGGTGTTGTTGCTCAGGCCAGGGAAGCCCACTCCCTTCAAGAGCACCTCAAGGAAGATCTGCGTGTCGAATGTGAACGGGGTCGAGTCGAAGGGGACGGCCTTGATGGTGGGGTCGACGTGGTCTGTGCGGGCCACCGAATGCGACGACAGAAGGCTGATCACTTCGAAGGGGCTGAAGTTTCCGGCGTCTTTGAAACGGGCGAGGATCTTGTCGACGCTGTCTTCCGGGAGCTAGAGGGCGAAATCAATCGATTGACATATGCGGCCATGTCTCGGCTTACAGGAATCAGTCCGTCGATAGCAGCATGAGTGTGGTTGGGGCGGCCCGCCAAGAACTCAAGCCGAGGTGCGCCCTGATGTCCGTCAGCTCGGCATGTAATTTTAAGGAGTCAGTCAGGGATGCTCACAGGGCAGTTTGTCAACGCGACAGCACCTACATGGGAAATGTACCTTATTAATTCCAGGCCGAATAATATGCGAGATGACGAACCTGCGAACTGAATCAAGTCACCCGCGCTAATCTTGTTGTGTTTCGCGAGAAACGGGAGGAGCGCATTGACACTGTCGTCAATCCCGTTGTTCGCCGCAAAGTCCGGTTCAACCTGCAATTCTTAGTTCATTCCAACATATCCAGGCCTCGGGAGCCGGATCGTACGTTCGGGAACAGGAGCATGCTGCCATCGGCACCGCCGCCACTACAGGGCAACAATCAGTTCCAATCCTCCTGAGCGGTCGGAGGAAACTTACGCCTTCGGATTGGCCTGGCTGATAGCTATCGCATCGTCTGCAGCGCATCAAAAATCGTCAGTCGGATAGATCGTAGCACCGGGAATCGGCACGCACGGAAGGTGAGGCGAATCACTTCATGTGCGTTCTCTCCGCACTCGTTGTCGAAGAGATTTGCTTGCAGATCTTGCGCCAACTGGGAGTGCGTAAGAAAAATTGTCTCAGAAGACCAGGAACTCGAATTGACGTACCGGGACAAATGGGCAGCAGACAGCATTAGGGACGCGTGTGCCGTCGGGGCAGGTGGTTGTACCGTGGCCGGGATAGGTCGCTGGTACAGCCCGTACGACGAAGGGCACAGAGAGAAACAGCGAAATTGCGAGACTTGAGAAGGCCATGTCACAGCAACGAAACAAGAAAATATAAAGATAGATGGAACAGGTAAATAGCCTGTAAAATCAAGTCGCGAAGAGGGAGAGAAAGACTTAAAGTAAGGAACACCGTCCTGCACACACCTTTTATATGTTATGGGATGGTATTTATCGTTCTTTACAGCGCAGCCCATCTTGCCCTGCCCCGCCAGTCCAACTGAAACCCTCCGGCCAAACCAAGCCGAAACAGGCCCTGGCCCGGTTCCAATAATACGAGTCCCCAGTTACAGTCGTGATTCTGAGTGACAGAAACTCATGCTTGGCTTGTCTTTTGCCATTGCGACGCCCGCGGAATTCAACAAGTGCAGTTGCGCCGCCGGGGAGACCTGCAATCTGAATAAGGCGTTCCGGTTTGTGTCGTTCATAACGCGATTAAAGAGGTGATAAGGATGGATATCGCCGGCGAGCTGGATATCCGACTGGTATCCGATGCTTGGAATCAGTCCTTGGGCAGTGCTGTCTCCAACCGTGGGCAGGGTTGATCTGAATGAGGAAGGAAGGAGAAAGGTAGCCGGCTTGTCCCGGGAGGATCAATGATCTGATGATCACGATTACTGTGCTGCATGCATGACTGGAGGGGTTGCATCGAGAATTCAGGTTGACATTTACAAGGAGATGGACGTTCGTTCAGGCCTCATTGTTTCATTCCGGGTGTTTTCGGGGCATTATTGAGATGTTTACATGCAAAGGGTGGGCAATTCAGCGTCAAATTTTTGTGACAGCAACATGACAAGTGGCTTTTCGCTCGCAAATGAAATCCGCCTGGAGTCATGTCAATTTTTACCCGGTGGGGATTGCTCGGGGAATGTTTCATCGTGAAATTTTCAGAGCCGGTCCTGTTAAGGTCCATTTCCTTTCGGATGATGGCCCCCGCGCGCTTCCAATCTGTGCTGCCCATTGCCCAACCACTTTCGTGACTGTGATGAGTCACAGTGATCGTGATCGGCAAACCGCGATTGACAGCAGACCCTCTTCCTGCGAGCCCCGTTCAGCATCCCCTGGTTTGTAATCAGTTCCGCCTGCTTTCATCGCTCTTTTTCCTTTTTCTATACGCCCTTGGATGACGTCGGCCGATAACATCAACCTCGATGTCCTCGAGCTGATCTTCGCGTACCTCTCTGGCAACGACCTCGTATCCGTTGCGCTCGTCAGCCACTCGTTCTTCTCCGGCGTCATCCCGCAGCTGTACTCGACACTCCTCTTCCGGCTAGCGCATGCGAAGCGGTACCCGCGTGTGATGTCCCCATTTGCAGCGATTGTCGAGCATCCTGAGTTTGCGGTCCATGTGCGGCATGTTGGTGTGTTCCTGCGCTCCCATCCCGGCATCCACCCCTCACCGTGATTGCGGTCCTCAGACATCCGAACGGTTCCTGTGGTGAAGTCGCAGTACAACGCGCGCTTCCTATCGGAATGCACGCACGCGCTCGACCTCTGCCCCAACATCACCTCGTTTCGGTGCAGCATCCAGGCAGTGACCGCACCCTTCCTGACGCCGCTCATCGAAAAGGAGCGCCTGCACGACTTGCGCATCAATGCGAATCTCACGACCGAGCAGAGCGCCAAGATCGTGCAGCTGCGCCGCGTGCGGCATCTCACGCTCGACTTCGCGTCCTGGAATCTTGTGAACATGCTGCCGCTGTGGGTGGGGAGGCTGCAGGGATGGCTTCTGCATCTGACGCTGTTCATGGTGGCCGAGCTGGACGAGGTCATGCTCAAGACGGTGCTCGAGAACCTGCCGGATCTCTTGGGACTCCATGTCATTGGGTGTGGGAAGACGGACCATGCTGGGGTTCTAGCGGGAGTTGCGCACACACCGCATCTGGAGGCGCTGTCCTTCACGACTGGGGTGCGTGGCTGCCTTGTGTGTCTCCTTCAGCTCGCTGACCCTCGACTTTCCAGGATAGCAATAAGGTCTTGCCAAATCCCCCTTCTTCCCTAACGCGTCTCCGCCATCTCGCCGTCGACACTCGTCTCAGTGCAGTCCACCCGCCCAGTACGGCACTTATCGGCTCCATTCTCTCGCACATCACGCAATCAAATCCTCCACTCGAGTCCTTCCTGCTGAAATACCCGGACCGCCAGATGGCAATCCCTGCTGCCTTCGTGAATATCCTCATCGCGAGTCACGGTCGGACGCTCAAGACAGTCGGGTTCATCGACTGCAACCTCGCGACGCCCGATGTGCTCGCCTCGCTTTGTCGAGCATGTCTGGTTCTCGAGCGCTTGGAGATCAGCATCCCCGTGCGAGATCTGGTGCGTGCATCCGCCGTTTCTCCTGACCTCGTGCTCATCGAACCCCCATGATCTAGGGCATCTTCTCTCAAGCGCTCAGCCAGTCGCAAACCCTCCGCACGCTTATCGATATCGAGCAGCACAGTCACAGTCCGCGGCCGACGCTCAGTCAGGATGGGGTGCGGGGCATGATGCAGCAGACTCCGACCCTGCAGCGGGTTGTCACTGAAGGAAGGACGAGGATATGGACGGTGCGTACTTCCGATCGGCCTCCTGGGACCACTTGCTTATCCAGGCTCCAGAAGAAACAGGACACACAAGGTATGATGCTCCCGGTGCTGGAGAGAAGATCCGCTCCCGGTGTTGCGGTACATTGGTTTATGCCTCGCGAGTAGAATAGAATGATATACCCCACGGCTCGATCTGTGCCGATTCTTCGCATCTACCAGGACCACTTTCCTAAGGACTTGTCGTGCGGCCGCGACGATGTATACCCCAATGCAAGCGGCCCGTAGTGCTGTATCTCCCGCTGCCCTGTATACTGCCTGATAACGATCAACGAATGGGTTATGATTATCTTATCTTATCTCGGGAGCATGAGTTATGTAGGGATTGTGAAGAACGCTCACGTGTTCGCTTGTTGACTAATTGATGCGTGTCGATAGCTACACGCTCTCATGCCACCAGCGCCGACAGTCGCCCTCTCGCCTGATCTCAGACACCTCAGTGATGATAGCTGCAGTCGAGGACCCAGCGTAACACGCTGCTGCGCCAACTGCGCCACTATTGGACCTTGCAAGGCATGGCGCAAGTCGGTTCTGCATATCGGGAAGATTGTGGGTGTCCTCGAAACACGGATGTCTTTACCAGAGATTGACCACGATCAACCTGCTTGAAGCTGTGCAACAAGTGCGGGCTGTACGAGCGCAAGCACAAATCCCCACGGCCGGTGGATCTGGAGCATCACAAAGGGCATCGATCCCGCGCCAACGAGCTGGGCGCCATGACCGCCGATGAAGTCCCCATACAACACAATCTTGAAGAGTCTCGTGGTCCCGAGTTCTCATTGCCGTCGCAACCTCCCCCAGATATCCTCGCGCGGGAGTATTACGTCCATGCACCCCAGTACGAGCCGTACTACTCGCAACTGAACACTCCGCCCACATGTACGTGGGTTCCGCCCCAGCCGTGCTATGCGTCTCCTCAACCAGCGGGTACCGCTCCTGACGGACCGGTGGATGTCCCTCCTGAAAGCGATTCTAGGAATCGTCCGGGAGTGCAGGACGAGCCGAGATGAGTTGGACGGCATGTTCTCCTGCGGCTTTCTGTACCAGTCTGAGGCAATGTATACGTTCTAAGATTATGTTCTTCTGTAAGTGTAAATAGATGTTCAACTGTTCAAATTTTAAGCCTTCAGTGCGCGAAGCCTCGTGATGACTTCCTCCATACTATCGCAATTCCACTCTCCGTACCAAGTGACCTCCGTCCTAGTCACGGTCTTCCCTGGTATCTTCCTGGGATGTAAGAGAAATGTGTGTGCGTCTGGAACAACGGGCGGAGTGGGCGCACGAAGTGGCTGGGCAGCTGAAACATCAAACGGGCCGCTATAGTGGTTCTGTCCCGGTGGGCTATCGACGGACAGCGGAACAATGGCAGAGAGATTTTCTTCCCCCTCGGATACCGCTTCACCATCATCTTCAAGTTGGCCCGCTTCGAAGGATTCGTCGTCGTCCAGTATCTACGACCCGTAAATGTCATAATCCCACCAGCGTGAGACCAATTCGCACACACATCGTCGATGTCTTCCTCCTCCGACGGCATCTGATACTCCCCACCCCGCGAATAGCGTCCCCACGGAACCTCGCCCATGCTCGTCGTCCTCCGGATCCGCTTCACCGCCTCCTTGGCGGATACGATGATAATCGGGCGCGGCTGTTGCGGCGTCGGCTCAGTCATGTACGAAAACATCTCCGCGGTCGATCGCTTTCGTTCACGTTCTGCACCATTCGTGTTGGATCGGAGGCGGCGATATAGTGGGGGTGAGGATCCTCTAGAACCGGGGGGATCTGAATGATCGGAGCATGAGGTATCGGATGCCGGGGCCAGCAGCATAGGCGTCGGTTGTTGAGAGAGAAACATGGGAACAGAAGAAGATAAGTGCACTGTGATGCCCAACGAGGTGTCTACGCCAGTCTAAATGGGATGGCAAAGCGGCGAACACGTTCTCAGCCCCTGCAGAATCAACTTTATTCCCACGCATCTCATCAGACGGTGTCGAGGTTGGGAGTTCCAGCTGTTTGAAACTGAGTGCGAGCACCGGTATTGCGTGGAGGTTTGCCTATGAAATGCGCTTCTCCGTCAGACGGGGGAGATTGACAATGAATTTGACGATGGATCCGGGGCATGAAAAAGCTGATCACGATGCTTAATGCTGTGGATAGCGACTCAGCAATCGCAACTGTTTCATGTTCACGGGGATCCGCAAACTCATCAAGACGGGAGTCATGACTCGCGGATCATCAGCTGAGATGAGCCAGAGTCTACTGGACATCGGATTTGTTGGGACACTGCCCTCGATGGGAAGGAGCACGGAAGGAGGGAAGAAAGCAGCGAAGGCTGTGATGAGATCAGTGACGAGCTACTATGTGATGATTCCGAAAGGTGTCGAATCTGTTCAAAGTGTGATCCGTGACACAGAAATCACGTTTCACTGGGTTGTGAGAATTCAAGACTGGACAGGCAATTTTATAAATAGGGCTTGGCGGAATCAACCCTCTCTCTCTCGGCAGTTCGAGGGTTCGGATTATGAGGAACCTGTGAAACTTTTCTGAAATTTCTCCACCCCCGCCCTTCCATATTCCAGTTGTGATTCTTCTGAAATTGTGCAGCAAACTCCCAACGTGGATTCACGTGATGAGCATGCCAGATATCTGTTGCTGATTCAGCTGCCATGCTTGGCACCCCGATGATCATCGACTCACTCCATTCCGACTGTACGATGAGCGCGGTGGAGAGCATTCCGGCGCTGCCCGAGGACCTCGAACGAATCATTTTTCTCGAATTGGCAACACAATCTCCTCGCTATATCCCAGCCCTTATACTGGTAGCCCGTCGCGTGAAACAGTGGTGCGTCTTACATCCATAACCACCGCACATTCGAGTTCACAGCTTAGGGTCGAGCCTGTTCTGTATCGCATGATCACATTGGAACTGCCCACTCTCCCTGACGTCAGCACCCTCGATCTCCCTTCATTTTTTCGTGTACATGCGACCAAAGGACCGGACTTTCTCGCCCGAGCCGTGCGGCATCTCGCGCTCAAGGACGTGAATGTCGCGTTCATGGACTTCATCTTCGAATCCTGCCCCAACACCGAGGACCTGCTCCTCAACTACACTCTGCCCAAACACACGCTATACGCGTCGGTCCCGTCCCTGGTAAGACTCCCCCTGAGACGACTGTACACCTACGTCCTCGATTTCTTCGACGGAACAGAGCTCGTGCCAAAGTTCCGGCCCCTGTTTAACAACCTCACCCACCTCGTCGTGTTCGGCAACCTCACCGGCCATGGCGAGCTCGCAGAAGCGCAGGAGCGATGGCGCCTCGCCGCGTCCTTGCCGCAGCTCACGCACCTCGCGGCGGTCGAGTACAACCCCGTCATGTGGCGCGTGATCCTCGGGAACGAGAGGCTGGTCGTCCTGGCGTTCCTGTGGCGCTTTGATTTCCCCCCAATGCCGCAGGACGAGCATGAGATCCCCGTGGATCTGCGGTTTGTTGCGCTCGCAGAGTTCTCGAGCGTGCTGGATTGGCAGAAGGGCGCACTGGGGAGGGGCGATTTTTGGGATGCGGCTGAAGAGCATGTGCGGAAGCGAAGGTCGGGGAAAGTGTATCGTGAGTGTTGGACTCCAGTTTCTTTGCAGAATTTCGGTCTGAACTTGAATAGCGCGGGCGTGGTTTCTCCGGACCGGCCAAGTCCCTCTGCTTCCAACGCTCGTCAGTAATCCCACTGAGTCGACTGATTGCCTTTGACCAATTTTGCCTGCTCAGAATGTGGCGCTGGGATAAGAAGCATGCGGGAGGTCAAACATCTTAGCACTTTTTCAGTCGCAGAGACTTAGTAGCCCTAATGATTAGACTTTCTGTTGGCATTCAAAGACCTTGCGTATATAGAACTTGAACGTATATTAGCTAATTGGGGTGGGCTACATCTGTTGTGGCTTCTTGCAATCAAGTCGGCGACCCGAAGGATCCTCGGAAAGATAAAGTGCAGGAATGGATAGACTGCGAACGTGTTGGAAAAAGCGAGCACCACAGGACTCGAACCTGTAACCTTTTGGTAGTCTCACGAAGGCATCGAAGCCAAACACGCTAGCCATTGCGCCAGGCACCCATGACGGAATGCAAAGTAAAGATATTATATTCGTCGACCCAGCCACTGCATTCTTCTGGCATCTCATTCATCCTTTTTTGTGAACACTCCAGACGCAGTTCTGAGAAGGACAATTCCCCTGAGGCTGATCATGATATACCCTGACAACCTTTTTGCATTGAGCACAGAAATTTCCAGGACATGCGATCGGTCTCGCACTTGCGATTTGAGACCATCAACATCTTCTCCACCGCAGAGGAACAGCTCCGAAGGCGATCTAAGGCGATACAAGAAATGCGCACTCCGCGGCATCTGAAGCGAGGACCAACTGCGCGGCTGATGGCCGACAGGTATAGCCGACGCTTCTCGCCATGTTTTCTGATTTGCATCCGTTCGCTTACAGTGGGAACCTCGGCCTACGTGTTGGTAACTCACCACAACCTCTCCGCTCTCCTATTCCTTGCGCCTTAAAAGCTGCAGGTGCCCACCTGCCATGCTCCCTATGCCGCTCCCGCTTCTCAGCAGCCCGCGACTGCCCCGTCGTCACTCCGTTTCGAGCGTTAGCAGCTTGCCTGGCAGCGAGTCCTCCAATGCCTCCGGAAGCCATTCCAAGTCATGGTTCAGTCGCAAGAAGAAGGAGAAGACAAAAGCGCAGGATTCGTCCTCCGTGGCCAGCGGGGACTCGAGCAGTAACGCGCAAGACGGAGGAGGAGGGGATGCCGCCCACGTGGTGGATGGGATCCTGGATACATTGGGCCCTAGGGGACGGTCGCTAGACCAGCAGCTTCATCGGCCCCATCCTCTGGCGCAATCCTCACACCCACCCCGCTTCCGGCCGAGCGCCAGCACAGACGCTGTCCCCTCCCTGCCCCGCGGCTCCGCTTCGACGACATCCCTGACGTCCGCACCCGCCACCGCGCCATCGACGCCGACGCGCGCCCCCCACTACCGCAAAGCCCGCTCGTCGACCTGGACGCAGCCGCCGCCGCCGCCGCCCCACCGCGGAGCGAATCTGCACGTGCTGATTCCCGACACCCCATCGGCCCCGTCGGCGCCGCGTCCCACGCACGATCAGTCACGCCGGGCCGCCGACCCGTCGCCTGCGAGCCCGCGGCACCGCACGCCCGCGAGCGCCGTTGCCGATTGGGCGCGAGGCGTGAGCATGGAGGGCCGCTCTGGGGACAAGCGCTCGCGCAGTCCGCTGTCCCCTCGCTCTCCGCCGCCGGCGCTGCCGCTGCGCCTCGAGCTCGACGCGGAATCTCCCGTGTCGCCGACACCGCGGTCGTTCGGCGGGGCGATGAGGAGGAAGGAGGGCAGCAGTGACACGGAGTACGAGCGGGGGGGTATGACGTCACCACAGGCGAGGTCTCGGCCTGGGTCACGCCCGAAAACCCCTGATGGTCCCGGCTTTTATTCTGGTCGACAGGAGGTGAATTGGACTGGGGAATGGCGCATCGAAGGCTCAGGGAAGAAGGGGATGCAAGATGTGATGAAGGGACTCAGGCATTTGAAGAAGAAATGAGACCAACTGAGTGGTAATACTTTTGCGATAACCCCCGGATATAGAGTATAATGTACACTGATCAGATTTCATTCGTAGTCGACATTATACATACTTACAGGCACCTACTTACACTCGTTATGGATCATTAGAGACGTTTAATCAATCGACTTGCGAAAGCCGACAATAAGTGTGGTTATTGAATCGTGCTGCCATAGTCCACTACCACGCGCCGGATGCTTCGTATTGAAGGCGCAGGCGAAGGCCTGTATCTCGGTGTGATTGCCCCAGAGCCGATGAATACTTCGAGTGCCGAATCCTCGGTGGGGCGAATGGTCTCAGCAGAGCTGAACGACTCGAATCGCGTTCGATTTGACGTGCGTTCGACGATACTGATCCACGGTCAGGACTGGCAATATCACAAAATGAATAGAAAACAAACCCGCGCATCACAGCAGCTGTGGTCAATCGATCAGCATATTTTTTCGACACGTTGTCTTGGTACAGATCCGTTTCGTCGACTATCTCTTCGGATAGGATCTCTTCAATGATGTCTGGAGCGCGATCGGTATGAGATGCCCACTGCATTGAATAGGAAATGACTTACCCTCGAGCGTCAGGACACCGATGGCACCTCCAGGTTTCCCGGGAGTGAGGCTGATGAGGAGCAGATGCGCGCGGCCCGTTTGGCTGCCGGCGATGATTAGGAAACGCTTTTACCATTCAAACTGTGCTCACAAGTAATCCAGGGCTTGGAAGCAGCTGATGGTCGGGTGGGCTTCGGGAAGCACGGAGAGCGGAATTCTAGACACCGGCCAGCCAAGATTTGTGTCGTACTGCAAGAGCTGCTGTGGATCAGTTCGAGTCTCCCATGATCAGTGCTGTCTGCGCACCCTCTTAATCAAGAGGAATCCCACGAACGCCGTCCGATCGTGGGGCTCGTGGACGGGGATGCGGGAATATCCGCTCATCAGGCTACTCGGGATTAGTCCCCGACGACAGGACGCTGAGAATCGGCACGCACATCTTCTCGACCATCTGGTGATCCAGCACGGCGTCAGCAGATAGCGAGACGACGTCTTGGATGGGCGTCATAAGCTGCTCGACGCGTTTCGTGCCCAACTCCAACACTCCATTGAGGATGCTGATCTCGTCATCCATAAGTGGCTCCTCGCCAGTTCGATGGAACTGAGCTTGAGTCAGTTGCTGATCACTGGACACGAGAGCCGCCGACAAACCTGCAGGAAACTGCGCAGTTCAGTTTTGTTGTACGTGTGGGTGCCCTCCACCCCGAGCAGCGCATCGAGCAGTCGGGCGATCGGCCAAGCGATCGGAGCAAAGAGGTACATCATCCCAAGAACAAGTGGCGCGCAGGCCGCACCGATGGAGAGGCCATAGCGGACAGACAAGGCTTGGGGAATGATTCTAAGTGTTGTGTCAGTATTCGCCAAGGAAAGCTGTATTAGAGCGGTGGCTCGGCATTGGAGCCAATGTCCAAGGGATCCGCTCCGTGACGTCATGGAAGGAAGGAACACTCACTCTCTAAATGAAGGTCAACCATGGTTGAATGCTCTAGATTCGCAACTTACCCAAATATGACTAAGTAGCGGAAGTCTTAGCAGAGGCGGAAGACGTGTGATCTTAACTCACCAATCAGTGTTGTCGAAATCACCACCGCGGCCAATCCGCCACCGATCTACGAAGGTTGAGTTTAAGCTGCAGAGCCAGAAAAAGAGCTGACCGCGCTATCCAAGAAGATTGGCAGCGACTCGTTTATAATCTGCAATCCCAGTCAGCTCCCGCCAAGAAGAGCGATGTCTTAGTAGTGCTCACGACATTCGCCAAGAGGAGGACGACTAAAACCCAATGTCGCCCTCGCTTGAGCAGAGCCAAGACTGCCAGCTCATATAAATCGTTTGAACGTCAGCAGATACATAACACGCACCATCCGCAGCGTTCTTACGCTCTCTCGCATCGCGACTGGACGCGGCCAGAACGTGAAGGTGTAGCTCGTCGAGACCCATCAGTGCGATCGTCAAACTGCACCACGTCGTCGTCAGCCAGTCTGCCAGTCTCTGTCAGAGCGAACGAATGCTTACCCAGCAAAGACCCCACCGAGGAGGACCAGCGCGCCGCTGATGGACATCTTCTGCCAGAACACCGCCGACCAGAGCTCGGGGTGCGCGACGTGGGATGTGGTAGCGGCCGAAAATGCGATGGGTGACGCGCGCGCAGTTGCATAGCGCAGCAGGACGAAGACGAGTGCGGGGTGGCGCATGGTCGGTGGGCAGGGGACGGGGGCGGAACACACATCCACCTGGTTTATATAAACAGAGGAATGTCTTGGCTCCTGTAAATAGCGCAGCTGTAAGACCGTCAGCCGAATCACAAGAAACATCTAGCCCAAGGGTGAAGCACCCAGTAAACTCCACCCAGCCAACTGTCCAGGCCCGAGGAGTCTTGGCGCTTACATGCATGTGCTGTGATACGAGCCGAGAAGGACGAAGCTAGCTAGGACGTACAAGAGTCGGTTTCCGACGTCGAGGAACGGCAGGCTGAGCGGATGCCTCTCACGATAAGCGGCGAAATCAGCGCAGGTCATCGACGGCGAGTTTCATTTGATGAGAACAAGGTAACACACCCACAAACCAATGGCGAAACTCTCCGTCCGTATGTTGTCGATCAAGAACCGGAAGATGGGCGGGCGAATCGACGTTTCGTGGAGACCCGAGTAGCAAAAACACCGCGAATCCGGAAGGGGTTGCAGGCGAGAGATAAGGAATTAGATGACCGGCTGACACCGGCTACTGCTGGGAGCATGGTAGAAGTGCTAAAATATACGCCTTTGAGCAGAAACTAATATAAACTTCTCGAAGACCACATGGATGGGGTGGCAGTGGGAGAGAATCAAGCATCAAATGATCAGCCGATGATGCCATTGATCGATTGCCTGATCCGTGATTGGCATGTGTGACGAGTGATCGACCACAGTGCAGAGGCGATCTCATCGGAGTTCGGACCGAGGACAATTACACTTTGAAAGCCATCGATGACCCTCGAGTCCCACCGGAGCTCCTCAAACTCGACCGCTCATGCCATTTCTCAGCGTCAGGCATTGTTCGCTTTAGGCCCAAGCGACACAAAAACTGGCTTGAGGCTTTCAAGGGCTCTAACGTAACAACAATGAGAGGGTCTTGGGCAGAGTCAAAGCGCGCAACTGGTGGAACATATAAGATGGGAGGCAGAGAAAGAGTTCCGCACGCGTAACCTCTCTCATATTATGTCCTGGACCTCGCTCACAGCTCCCATGCAAGCAAACACCTCATTGAGCCACCGCGGCATCGAAACTGAACAATATGCTCGGCTCCCATTTGACTCCAAGGTGCGTTTGCCGTTTGGTAACTGTAGCCGCGATCGACCCCACTCATTGGGCCATTTTTTCAGGAGCGGATGCAGCTGATGGATGCTTGTGGCTGGGGCCACGCGCTGTTTGTTGACCGGTTCTCTCTGTGGGCGGTGAGCTGTCTTTTTTTTCAACTTTAGCCATCCCGCTCATTTTAGATGCGAAGGCACCAGCATCAGACGCCCTGGAACCAAAACTTGGCCATGACGCGCTGCGTTATTCATCGGCAGCTCGGCGCAGTGCGACTTCGTACGCCTCGGTCGTCAATCACGGCTCCCAGTCTCTTCAGCATCAATCTATCGAGACTAGACAAAATTTCTTGGCGTGTCGGTCCGAACGTTTGTTGTGTCACTCGCTTCCGAGTGGCCCTCAAATCCGCACATCGACCGCGTCATCGGACTCGGACTCGGACGCGCACACAGCCATTGGCTAGAATATCGATTTCGACTCGGATGCGAGCTCGCGTCAGGATCAGGGAGAGGCGGATTTAGACCTTGATGTGTGAATGAAGCCCGTGAATGGCCACGTGGTTGACAGCTTATTGTGCTTGACCAAATGTATATCATGGATCTCAATCTGAGGCGCATCAATCAAACCCATCATCAGTTGACGCGCCTGATACGCATCATTGATTTCACTGGCTAAAAAGAGTGGGACTTGCCGGGACTGAGAACCCCGTGTCTGGCCCAAGATAAGCGCGATATTTCTCTGAGATTAGTAATTTGAACATTGAAATTGAACTGGCACGTTTCCTTGTCGCAGTTTTTGCGCCAGGGCCCCAGACTCTATGACACGCCGCGCTCGGCGGAACAGACCACAGGGACCGATACCCCCCAAATTTTCCGCTTCCTTCTTGCCAAGAAGAAACTGGCGGTACTCCCTAGGTATAGCACAGTGATTCACATATCGGGATAATACTCTATCGTTGACAGCGAGCGGGCAGCTCAATTCCGTGGCGCAGGTCATTCGAACGCTGATGGAGGACTGGGGGAAGTCAAGATGGCAGCTCGAGCCTCGAAGCTCTCATCAACACCGAGTGTCTCCGCCATAGATTCTGGCGCACAGAGATTGTACACTGGAATATCAGTGGCTAAGTGCGTACTCCGTCAGTATCGGTGCGCAGAGGACAGGCTGGGTGGCGGGGATGAATTTCGCGCCCGGATTCCTGTTGATCCACAAGCCCACATGGTCCTTCCGGCCTGAGTAGAAATCTCTTAGCATCCCTATAAATAAGAGGCTATGGGGTTGTTACTGGGGATAAACCGTCAGTGGCTACCACAAGATGCGCTTTGCAACCTCCTTCCAGCTCATTGCTCTTGTCGGCGCCTTTGTCTCCGCCTCCCCCGTGGAGAAAGACTGCAAGTACGCTGTTGGCTGGAACGGAAGCGTCCTCGACTCTGCGGCCATCGGGACTCCCCTCGAAAACGTCGAGCGCTCGTCGCTCCAGGTAAATCGGATTGTAACTTGGTTTTGGGGGGTCAAACACTCATCACCGGGCATCTGCAGGCTCGCACTCCGGGAGGCGTCTACATCTGCACCGATATCAACTGGGGTGGGCAGTGCGGCTACGCCGTGCAGCAACTCGGCGCGTGCATCGCGCTCACGGCGCCGTGGTACAACACCATCTCGAGCTTTGGACCCGATGCCGGCGCCACTTGCTTCGGTATGCATCTCAGTTTCTTCTTGTCTGCTAGGGCGAGATAGTAATCAAGAGGCCTTAGCGTATAGCCAGAACAGCTGCAGCGAGGCCCAGTGGACCTTCAGAAGCCCTGGAGACGCGACTGGTGGACTGGGGACCAGTAGCCCTTGGAACGATCGGGTGAGCTTGGATCGTAGCTGACGGTCCTGATGGAAATGCTGACATAACTTGAGATCACCAACTTCAAGTGTGTGTAGATATATACAATGTATAAGCTTTAAAGTAACAAGCTCTCGGGAAAGAAATGTAATCAGATATCACTGTCTCATCTACGCAATCACCATCGATCGGCAATCGCGGTCATGTCAAAATGTGCAGGTAATGCGGCGCGAACGCTCTTGGCAAGTCATATATGGGACCGTTCTGAAAGAGTGTAGTCTGAGAAGAACTCATAATTCTACTTTGGTTTCACAGTCCAATGACAGAACCAATCGATCGATCCCACCGAGTATTGAACAGCCATCACAAATTGTAAACACATCACATGAGCAGTTCAGAGTCACTACCCCGCGTGATCAGTTGAACCACGAATCAGGTGATCTTGGTTTTAAAATTACAACGCGACATAAACTGCTTTGGCTACGGACAAGAAACTCGTGGGTTGCAGAAAAAAGACGTTTGATCTAGGTAGCCGAGAGAGGCTGCTGGGACATGGTCTGGTCAAACAGTTGGAAGGCTGCTTGACCCACGGCCAGAGATCCGTTCTGAAAATCGCATCAAAAATGATCAAATCAACATGGGATGAGATCGATGACTACCTTGTACGCCGGAACCTCGTGTCCGGCACCGTAGATCCGCACATAGGAGCTGCCACGGGCACATATGAGTGAAGTCCTTGGAGTGATTAGAGATAATGGCATTTACAATGTTCCAGCGGTTTTGAATTGGCCGGCTAGCAACCCTTTGACGGTGAATGGCTTGAATGCTTGAGCATTGATCTGTGCGCTGAACTGGTTGTTCATCGACGCGATCTGGACAACTTTGAGCACCAAAATCGAGTACTGGCACTGCGGCAATGAATCACGCACCATGTTCTCAATGCCATTAAAGTTGAGGATATAGTCCTGGGAGATTCATTAGCCTGATAATAAGGTGCTTGGAAAACCCCATGAAGCTCACGGCATCTCCTCCGTATATCGTGACCCTGACCCCAGCGTTGATCACTGTCTCCAAGTTGGGCAGTGAGCTGCGCATCCAGTCCCCGGTGGCAGCGAAATTGTTGTACACGTTGTTGTTGGTCTCCGCCCAGGTCACCTCAGCGCCGACTTTGGTGCGGACTGAGGCTAGGAAGGAAGAGATGTCGGGTGGGTACGGGTCGTTGGAGCCGGATAGGATGTAATACACCTACGGATCATATCATTAGCATCGAGAGAGACAGACGTGTAACCAGCAACACGCACGTCGAAGTTTCCGACGAGCGGGGACAGGATGTTGTTATTGCACGTGCTCTGAGCCGCAGAACACACCGCATTTGAGCCACCAGCGTTGCAAGCCGTGATCTGACTGTTCATGAGAGTGGAGAGGAAGTCTCAATGGAAAGACTGACTCGGGCTTTACACCCTGTGGTCGCCGTGTTATACTCCTTCGTTGCTGCTGAGATCGTGGTGGCAGAGACAAGTGGGTGATACGGGTTGGACGCCGCGTAGGTCAGGTACCCCGGATATTGAGTGATCGGATCCTAGTGGGACAGCGTTAGAGTCGGCAAGCCAGTCTGCAAGAAGTCAAAGACCGTCAAGCCGTCGCCGATACCCAATGTCTTGAGGTTCAGGGTCAGTCCCTTAACGGTTCCGGCGGCGATCGCCTTATTCTGCTGCAAGAAGTAGGCGGCAAACGTCGGACCGTAGTGCCCGCCGTAGCTGCCCATTCGCATGAGACATCATCGACAACGCTCGAAACAGAAACGGCTCACGACTCGGTCCAGATGGCCAAATCGTGCGTGGCAAGCGACGCAAATCGCGGGTCCTTGAAGAAGATCTGCAGGAAGGACCACACGTCTTGAGCTGCTGCCTGACTGGTGCCGACGCTGGTCGTTCCGTGCGAGAAGCCGACGCCCACAGGTTGGTCGATGAAGAGCAGATTCGATTTCGTGTTCCACGAGAACGGATTCAGCGTGACGGAGGCTGAATTGTTGGTGATTCGACACGGGCCGTTTTCCTGGAGCAATCCGATCATCGAAGAGCTTCCGGGCTGAGAGGTATACTATTAGGGCAGAGACTCGTCAAAAACGACAGAGTGGTGTACGTACCCCACCGTTGAACCACAGCGTGAGAGGTGCAGACGCATTGGGGCTGCGCGACGAAAAGTACCAGAAGCTGCGTCCGCGGTCAGAATGGTGTCACACTGCGAAAGAAAAGGCTGGCGCACAAAATACTCTCGGTAGCTGACAGATCGCCATATCCGGAGGCCTGGTAAACGCCAGGAGTCGTCTCTATCGTAAATCGATGAGCTTCTCTGTCGTGGCGCCCATTTATAACCCACCGCACACCCCAGAGTTTTCCACGACACGGAGCGCACCGGGGGTCACCAGCGGGGAAAGATTCTCATTGAGCTCGAGGGGTCGGTCGGCCTCTAGCGCAGGAGTTTTGCCGACCCCGCCAATCACACCGTCCCTGATTGGTATCTGGCCTGAGGACTTCGCGGCGAGGGCATAGCTGAATAGTAAAATGCTGGGAAGGAGTTGGGCTAGGCTGACGAGACGCATGTTCCTAGAGCCACACAGCGCACTCACCCATTTGAAGTCCGCTCTTTAAAGGACTTATCGCTCGGATCCCGATTCGTCTCGGGTCCGCAAGAGGGCCTTATCTGTGCGCACCGTGTGCAAACACCTCCAGAAATACCATCAGTTGTCGTGTTTGGAATTTTTTTCTCTCTCCGCATGCTTCTATCATTGACGGGAAAGGTTGAGTAGCGGGGAAACCGTGGAGGAGGGAAGATAAAGAGGTATCCCACACTGAGAGTGGGGCATGTGAGACGCGACACACAAGACTGAGTTCGAGGCAGAGACTGGAAGCACGCGTACAGTTTCCGTATAGCTCTGTAGGAAGTGCTATTTTCTCAGCCATGCGCGTGATCGACATCTATACTTGTTTCTTGATTTGATTGTTTTTTTGTTACCTTGAATTACCCAGCAAGCTTGCGAGTGAAAATCGAAAGAAAGAGCATAGCCACCAAGCCTCTGATGGAATCTTCGTGACTGTGACTTGGGTACATCTTCATACGACTCGAAGTCTCTGAATTTGTCGCACTGCAGTGTACATTCCATTCTCGCCTACTTCAATACGACTCTTTCCGAACACGACGGCGGAGAGCGAGGGAAGCACGCCAAGATGAAGGCATCGACGGCCATTGAAATCCCTGTAACACTTGCATACGTACTAGCTTAGAAGTACTGCTTCTCGCTCCGCGCATAAAGGCTTCCGCGTTCCAATGGAACCCCTTACAACTCCCTCTTTGATACCACCGCTCGCTTTTCCCTCATGTCTTCCGCCTCATTCCTTTCGTTACTCGTCTCGCTCTTTTGCAGTGCTCTCCTCGTGTCCGCCGCGCCCGGTCCAGGCGTTCGTGTCGCGGAATCTTTGCCACCGCCGCCGTCATCCTACGATGTTATGCGCCATCTCCCCGCTCCTGGTGCTGAGCGTAATCTTCCACCGGCAGTCTTACCCCAAGCTGTCTTCTCCGCCCCGCTCCACGCCAGTGCCCCGCGTCGCCAGGCCAAAACACATGCGCTCAGCCATCTCGTCGCGGCGCAATCCGGGGCAAAAGCGACGATCCCACAGGTCTCTCTCACGGGCCCGGCGCTGGATATGGAGTACCTGGCTCAGATCGTCGTGGGTGGGCAGAAGTTCGACGCGATCGTTGATACCGGGAGGTACGTCGCATAGTCCGTGTCGCGGGAGGCCACGCTCAAATGCAATTGGGGCGCAGCTCCGACACGTGGCTCATCGAGGACAACTTTGTCTGTCTGAACCAATCCGGACAAGCCCAGCCGCCCGCCGGGTGCAACTTTGGCGCAGCGACATACAACAAAACAGAGTCCAAGACTTTCAAGGCGTTTCCAAACAGCTCGTTCGCGATCGTGTATGGGGATGGGGAGTATATGGTGGGTCACAAATTGCTTTTTACCTTTTGGCTCTCATGTCGAAGTAGTCTGGCGCGGCGATGTACGAAACCGTGAATGTCGGAGGGCTCTCAGGTGAGTCATCGGCCTTGCACAGAGTTATGAAGCTGACTATACTGGAAGTTTCCAGCCAAGAGATGGGTGTCGTCAGTAAAGCTTCCTGGAGCGGTGACGGATTGAGCTCCGGGCTGCTGGGACTCGCGTACCCAGCCTTGACGAGCGTACGGAATGGCACCAAAGGTCCGGTCATGTCCTACGATCCGTTCTTCATCAGCGCTGTCAAGCAGCATAAGACGATGCATTCATGTACGTCCCTGTTCCTTTCACCTAACATTATGTTCATTTTCGCCGCCAGACTTTTCTCTGGCCATTAACCGCGGCACCACGCGTGGGGAGCACTCCAACGCCGAGCCCCACCTTGGCTACCTCTCGTTCGGTGGGATCGCACCTGTGCCCGTCACCAGCACTAATGTCACTGTACCCGTGCAAGGCTACGCCGTTTCTCCATCAGGGTCGAGCTCCTCTCCGTTCTCTTACTTCGCCGTTGACATTCAGGAGTACGTCTTTCCTCAGAGCGCCAACGTGAGCTCCTCGAACAACAATACGATCATCGACTCGGGAACCACACTGAACATCCTGCCCGCCCCGGTGGCACAGGCGTACAATGCGGATATCGGCACGTGGCGAAACGGGTCTTACTATGTCCCGTGCAACGCCACCATGCCCCCGTTCTCGGTTGTGCTAGCTGGCAAATCGTTTTCCATCGATCCGAGAGATCAGGTGGTCAGAGCAGGCACCGATAACGTTACCGGAGAAGATGTGTGTCTGTCTGGGACCCAGTCTGGCGGCGAGGATCTTGGGAACGATATCTTCATCCTGTGCGTCGCATTGCCTCACCGGATCCCATTGATGTTTCTTACCTTTGGAACCAGGGGCGATGTGTTTTTGCACAACGTCGTTGCGACGTTTGATGTCGTGAAAAACAGTATCACTTTTTCGCAGCGGAAAAAGTACTGATAGGTGTGATCTGTTTGTCCTAAATACGTGGTACATTTTCCGTAGTATCTGTATTGTAAAGTAGGCGTTGATCGTCAACATTACTTGAGAGTTCCGTGTAGAGAGCTTGCCATGTCACAGTCCGTCACAGGCGCGATGGCCGAGTGGTTAAGGCGACAGATTCGAATGCACGCTATCTGTTTCGGTTTCCGAGCGCAGGTTCAAGTCCTGCTCGCGTCGATCCCTTCGTGTTGAACCCGACAAGATTCACTCTCGCACTTGGATTTTGTTAAGCCTTCCTCAGTTCCGGCATGGCGAGCGACTGGGTCATGTCGCTCGGAAGAATTTGTACAGGTTTACAAATCGCCTTCACACCCCAAGAGGATCGGGCGAGTAAAAGACATGGGTGGTTGAGCCTCCTCAAATTTGCAACGGCTACCCGCAATCACTTCATTACCCACTAAATTACTACTAAAATATCTTGCCAGCAGCTGGGAATGAGCTCTAGGACGTGTTTTATCACGAGATCCTGAGGGAGAAACTCGAATTCATCCCAATCGACACGCAGGGTGACTGCCTGCACTTTGTGCAGCACCGCCAACGTTGAAAACGCGTGAAACGAGTCAGAATATTTCGTCAGCGCCAGGGTGCTTCCAACGCCGAGTGATAGAGACTGTATCCGCAGACCACTATCCCCGAGTCGGATCAGCATGCTGATGAAGTCCGCATCCACGGAAAGCTCCCCCAGTCTATCATTTTGCCCTATGCTCATGGAAATGGAAAGCATTTCGCATATGGTGAGCGCAATAATGCCTGTATTTGTGCCCGTGCGTAAAGCATGCGGCGGGAAGCCTGGACGTCAACCAGGAATGGACACCAAATTTTTAGGCGAACTCACTTGGACCCAGTTCTAGAACGCTCAACCCGGAATCGAGGAAGTCTAGGTAGTGCTGCAACAAAGAGATCTGTAGCTCTGATGCCTGTTTCGCACGGTCCAAAACCAGCTCGCTTGTGCGGATCTCGACCGCACCATTAGCCACAAAATCGACTGCATGGTGCACATAGAACTCGAAACGATCCAATGATATCGAGAGCGGCGTCTGAATGGCGTCCACATCGAAAATCACGACTCTGGCCAAGCGCAGGTATTTCAGTCGTGGGAACCGGACGACGAATTGCACGACGTCTTCACCGGTCTTGAAGGAAAAGTCCACCAACACAAGCTTCTCCACGCTCTTCACACAGGGAAAGCCGAAGGGTCCCATCCCACCCGTCCCATCCTCGAATTCTATCCTCGAGTCGTGCCAGATCCAGAACTCGCGCAGCGCGGGCAGCATCGCAAGCCGGTCGAAAAGCAGCGCGATGTTGCCGTTCACGTAGAACACTTTGAGCTTGACGATGCCCGTGAACGTGTGCAGCGGGTGCGCGACCAGGTCGACGAAGCGCATGGCCGATTTGTGCGACAGATTCACACCCCGGTCGTACAGCACGCGCCGGCTCATTGGCACCCAGGCGCGGCACACGGCAGAGCATGCGTGTAGCGTCGCTGGGTAGGACGAGTTGATGAATGAGAGAACGCAGTCCCAAATTTCGGGTGGAAGGACGAGTCGACGGGGAGAACGGTTCTCGCGGTGGCTTTCATCCATACCGTCTTTTGCGCCGGGGGATGGCAGTATGTAGGCAAATTGCTGACGGGTTACTACACGTGTCCGGGATGAGTCATCACGTGTACAGCATAAGGTAATTTAGATCTGAAGGTTAAGCCGACGTTCTGCCACAACGTGTACATATGCTTTCATGAGCTATTAGTATCACTATTTCGTGTTCAGAGTCACTTTCTGTCACAAAAAACACATGTCACGAGGTCTGTCTAATTCAGCCCGTCCCCTACTCATTCTAAAACATCAATCGTCTGAAAGCCATTTCGCAACTTGGAGACTTTCTCTGGCAGTAAGTATGAGTCAATGACCGGATTGAAGTCGATTTTCTCTCGCGTGCAAGTTACGTGTTTATCGAGCGAATTCGTTGGACTCACGCGCTCACATCGGATCTTCATTTTGTGTGCTGTCATTCGGGGAATACTTACTAGAACCTCATTCCGGACACTCGAACGAGAAACTACCAGGGGATTCTGGCGAGCTCGCGTGATACCGCTGCCAGTTCATCATCTACCCGAAACTCTGCCTGAGCGCCACCGTGAGCTGCAGATGGTTTCGAGAATGGTTGCTCGATGACTTTGCACACTGTCCCTGGCTCTGGAAGTGTGCCGTTCTGGAAATATGCTCGGACGTGCTGCTGGGTACAGGGCGAGGGGCCTGAGATGGAACAGTGCTGACGGGCTATATCTGAGTGCAGGCTCGAAAATCAGGTTCAAAACGCACCCCGACGGAATCCTGAGTCAGGACAACAGATCCTGTAAATCCAGTGGACATGTTGTTGGCGCTGTGGAAAGATGATCAGTATTCATAGAATCGCCGGTGCAACTCGAGACGCACGCCCAGAGTGGTGTCACGGGATCTGTGGCTTGATGAACTTGGATTATAAAACAGTCAGGCAACGCTCACCTGCCGTGTTCCCGATGAGCAATATCGGATGACTCGTGTTGGCTATGAACGGGCCGTTGAAGTATTTTTGGGATAATTGGGCCATGCGCTTGATACGTGAGGCCGCGGAACTAGGCGAGTCAACAACAGCAACTCACAGACACTGCATGCGAAGTGGCTCCCAAACATCAGCCCATTCAGAAACCTTGAGCATCTCATGGTAGTGTCTCTCCATCGAGTCAAAATCACCGGACATCCTCGCTCCATCGTTGCACAGAACTGCGGCCCCACCGTCACCGACGGAGTCAAAGATGTGCTCGGTGGGGTCGCAGCCACACTCGAAAGCATCCCCTTCGGACATCTCCCAGAGCGCCGTTGCGTTGCCCCGCTCCAAGTCGGCCAGAGCAGCGGCAAGGGGCAGGAATTTCGCATATGGAGAGTACAGGGAACTGAAGATCGTGCGACGCAACTTGGAGAAGTCGACCAGGCCGTAAGATTTGGCAGTGCGGACGGGAATGGGGCGTTGTAGAAGGCGATTGTACAGCGCCTGGAGTCGGTCGGTGATCTGCACAGTAGACGGGCTGTAGAACGGGCAGCCTTCAGGTCCCGCTGTTACACATCCAGAGGCGAACGAGGCCCAATTGATATCAGCATCGATGAGGTTGTTCGACCATTCGAGCGCAAAGTAGTTGTAGGAATCGGCGACACCGTCGATGATCAGCCCCTCGACCTTGTCTGGAAACATCGCGGCGAACGACGCGCCGAGCACACTTCCGTACCTGCTCAGGCGGTCACGGTCTGGCACGAGCACTGAGGAAGCACACAGAACACCCACGAGAAGCCCCAGTAGTTCAGCTTTTCAAACCCATGCGCGTGGACGACAGACAACATGTCTCTTGCGGTGTGGTCCGTGTTGATGAATTGCAGGGTGTTTTCGACGTCCCGCTCTCCCGCAAGCTGGCCGTGCAGAATGCCCCGCGCCCAACCGTCCGCCAAGGAGGAAGCCGACTCGTTCACGGACCGTGCAAACATGTCTCCTGACGTCTCCCACAATGCGCGCTCTGCGCGAGAAAGGAAGAACGACGCCCGGGGTGTGGAGCGGGATATGCCTGGGGAGATCAGTCGTCAGTCAGGGCAAGCGACGAAAGCGCGACTGCGCACCGCGTGGATCAAAGCCGACCATGTCATACTGATCTCCGACAATCTTTTGCAGAGCCGCGCCTCTGCTCAGCAAGAAATCGACGCCAGAACCTCCAGGGCCACCGGGATTGAGCAAAATGGGTCCCCGGTATTCGTTCGAGTGGTGTGAGACGACGGACTGCAGCCGGACAAGGGCGATCGCGGCGGTGCGTCCCTGAGCGCCACCGTAGTCGAGCGGGACAAGCAGACGCGCGCACTGCTTGTCGCCGTAACAATCCGTCCACAGCAGCTTTGACGATGGTACGATCTTGACGGAGGGAGTGGCGTCAGATGAGTCCGCAGCTGCAGCGCGCTGCTCACCTCGTTCCAGACCGACTCATTCGAGACCGTGGGTCGTAGGGCTACGACTTCGTAGTCATCTCCATCTCTCCGGAACTTGGCGAAGGGCAGTCCCTCTCGGCGGCTCAGGAGAAGGAGCCACCCGGCGAGGAGCAGTGCACACTGAGCTGAGAAACGGGAGACGTTGTGCATTGTCGTCCTGGCGCAGACCAAGGAGTTCTTTGGCCGGCCGCAGACCGCAGTCGCTTATCTTTGCATACTTCTGGGCGCGGCGACCAGGTCGAAGATCAGGCACGTGAAGATTTGGCGTCTAACTCTGATCATTGTCAGCCAGATTTGTCATGCGGTTGCTGCCGTGTTCCCCACCGGGGTCGATGAGTGGGAATGTCCGCACTGCGCAGCCCGAGGCATCAAGTATGGCGTCAAATGTTGGTTATACTGAGAAGATCAAATGTAAAACATGGTGTTTTCTATAGTTGGAGAGCGGAGTAGAACTGCTTTCACGCCCACTGGGCGCAGTATGATATCCCTGTAAACCAGAAGGTATCTGCGATCAAGTCTGCAAGCTGATGAGATGCAAACTGGGTTCTCCGCTTCCTGAAGTACAAGATCCTCCTCCGGAAACTATCCTGGACGAAATCTGCCACAGCCACTTGCTTGGCATATTTAGTTCTGTCTACTCTTCTAGTGAACTGCCTTTCAATATGTCTATTCGTCAAGAACTGCAGAGAAAATGGATCCAGAACGATGTCAAATTCTACACTCAGGAGCTGGGCCAAGGCTTCCACTACCTCAGGTTGACTAATGAATCGCTTCACCAAGATTCAGTGCGGCTGACATGACAGAATGAGACTAGAGACAACAAGTACAGCTAATATACAGCATGATATCGTGACCGGTGAAAGAAATGGCATCACCAAGCATACACAAGGGAGCTCAATCGATCCGCTCGTCGCTGACCTTCTCGACACTCGGCTTAGCCTCGTAGTCCTGCGGCACGGCGCGCTCGGTGAGGTCCCCGGGCCGGAACGTCCCGTCGCGCAGCTCGCGTTCCGCAGCGTGTCGGTCGCCGCGCTTGACGTATGGCGTGCCTGGCACGAACAGGGGCGCGTCAGCGAAGAGGGTGTCCATTTCTGGTTGAGGTGTGTGAGCGAGAGGGAGTATGGGGAAGGCTGAGATGAGAGCGTACCTTCTAGACGACGGCCGGTCGTTTCTGGGTAGAAGGCCCAAACGAACAGAGCGCTGCAGAACGTGTCGGGGAATCGAATGACCTCGTTGGGAGTTAGACTTACTTGGTGTGCCCGCAGATCGCAAAGACGAGATCTTGAGAAATCAGTTTCTAGTTGTACTTTGTTGAAGAACAAACATACAATATCTGCAGAGGCACAGTCAGGATCAAAACATGGCATTGGCTGAACAAGCCACTCACTTCCATCCAATACTCTGGAACGCCGGTGAAGTCACCTGGGCGATCATACTGCCCAAATTGATCAGTCTCACAGAAAAAGTCCGCAAAAGCCACTCACAAGTTGGAAATCCACGACGCAGAGCTGGTGATGGCAGTGGCCTTGGCGCGTGTTCGAGTCGAGCTGAAAGAAAATTAGTCCTGTGGTCACCAAGAATGCAGACAACGCACTAGATCTCGGCTGGGTACGCCCAGGAAAGCGGGCCGATGCAGGCGCTGAAGAAGAAGTTGAATACCCAGGTCCTGCGGGAGAGTCAGTGTTACGAAATGAGAATACAAGGACGAAACTGACGTCAGAATGAAGATCTACCAAGCCGATCAGTACTAGAAGTTGAATCTGATCACGGCCGGCTTACATAGTGAGCGGCATTGTTGTTCACAGTACCGGGCCATCGGGCCATGAGAATCGACCCGACTACGAAAGACAAGCCCGATGCGACGTTGCCGACGATCAAGGGCCCTCGTCGGCCGACGTGGTCAATCCAAAGCACGCAGGCAGCCTCGCCGATCAGCGCGATAATAGAGTTGATCGACTGGAACAGCAGGATCCGTGTCGAAGAAAAGCCCATGGTCTTGAAGATCTAGACACACACGACTGTGAGTACATCAGCGGAATTCGAGAAAAAAGGCACGTACCGTCGTGGAGTAGTACTGGATCGCGCTGACACCCGTCATCTGCACGGAGAACTGCAGGATATAGCCCAGCGCCAGACGCCGGAAATTGCTCCCGTTGGTGAACAGTTCGCTCCAGGACGCCTCCCCCATCTCGCGGTTGCGATGGATGTCGGCCTCGATGTCCTTCATCTGGGCAAGCACGAATGCATCGTCGAGGTCGCCGCGTGCGTGCAGACGTGCGAGCGTTGCTCGCGCTTCGTCCATGCGGCCCTTTTCGGCGAGCCAGCGAGGAGATTCGGGGAGGAGCAGGATGAAACTGAACAGAGGGATGGCAGGGATGATCTGCGGGAGAACGATAAGCCGGGAGCAGGTTTGCTGAGCTCAGCAAACGCACCTGAAGACCCAAAGGAAGCCGCCATTCAGCGGCATGGCCCTTCAACCCAGCCGAACAGCCGTAGGTCACCCACGACGCGGTGAACGCACCGATGCCGAGCATGAACTTCGGCACGTCAGTCGGAGGAACCCGGAGAGCACGAACCGTTCTCACCTGCTGCAGCGTGGTCAACCGGCCCCGGATACTCGGGTGCGCAATCTCCGCCTGGTACAGCGGCGCCAGATCCGACATGATGCCGATCCCGACACCCGCGAAGAACCGCCCCGCGAGCATCATCCCGAGGTTGCGCGCGCCGGTCTGCAGCGCGCCGCCGAGCATGTAGATCAGCGCGCCGAGCTGGATGGTGTGGCGGCGACCGAATTTGTCGGCGACCCAGGCGACGGGGACCATCCCGAGGAGACAGCCGAGGACGAGGATGGACACGACGAGGCCTTGGATGTTGCTGTTGGTCAGCCATAGGGGCCCCATGTGGGCCTGTGCGCGCTCGCATCAGTCGATTCAGTGGGGGGAATGAACGTTGCGCGTACTATGAAGTCGGAGGCTGGTGTCACACCGGCGATGACACCCAAGTCATAGCTAACGCGAGCTCGGTTAGTGCGACGCAAGGGAGACGATCCGTAAGCACGCACCCAAAGATGATACTCCCCAGTGACGCGAACAGCCCGCACAGCCAGGTATATACTTTCGGCGCAAGCGGCATTTTCGTGAGTTCGTGTCTGCCCGTCAAGCTCCGTTCGTCGTCGTTATATCGGCTGCTCCGAAAGGCACCCCAGGTAAAAAAGACGTGAGAGTCCTAAATGTCGGCCCCGTGGGGGGCACCCACCTTTAAAGAAGCGCGTTCGCATATCAAAACATTACGCAACGCGAGAGGATCACATGAACTTGGTGGCGCGATAAACGGCGGTCCGCCGAGCCGTGGCCTGGGCCCAGCCCTACAATGAGGGATATATCAGAAAATGACGAAATGAATTGAATTTGTTCAGGGCGGCGGCAAGGAAACTCTCATGTGCCGGGCTAGCAGCTACGTCATTCTAGGATTTCATTGAATTTCTTGGTTCATCGGGGTCTTTGACTCGCACTTTTTTGAACTGAAGCTGAAGCATGCCGCATATATTGGCTCGGCGGGAATCGGCTCAGCCTCAATCCGAAGCGTGGGTGAGAACGTGGCTGCAGACAACTATTCTCTCCCACCTGATGTCTCACGGCCTGGATGCAAGGACCTTCATGGCAATTTTTGATCCGTTCTGTCACTCTAGGTGCTCGGGCCGTGGGTCCCTAGCAGCAGAACGCAGCATTCTTCCAGCTTGGCGCATCCCCGGTCAGCCAGACTTGGCGGTTGTGGAGCAGACCTATTTGTGCACATGACCTCGTTTCTGATGTGAGGAGAGCATAGCCACCCGTCAAATCTCCTCCATTCACTCTTGCTCTTCCCTCGGACGAAATACTATGATTCCAGAGTCAGGGTGGGATTGTGAATATGTTTCATCGGGCCCCGGGTCAGATGAGTCGCACCCGTAGCTCGCTGAGTTGTCTGGACCAATCGGCACCCAAAGCCTCGAGGCAAAACATCTCGTTCCGATCGGTCAGATGCTCCACAGTGCGGTCCGGTACCGGACCCCCACTCTCATCAAGAACTCTGGAGATATATCTGAGCCCTCGCCGCCGAGCGCAGACCCCGCCCACGACGACACGACATCGCCTTCACGAGCCATGGCCCCCAGCATCCGCATCGACACGACGCACACCGTCGCCCCCATCGACCCGCGCATCTACTCCGGATTCACGGAGCACATGGGGCGCTGCATCTACGGCGGGATCTACGACCCGGAGAACCCGAACAAGGACCTGATCGATGAGAAGGGGTTCAGGAAGGACACGCTCGCGGCGCTCAAGGCGCTCAACGTGCCCGTTGTACGATACCGGGGGGAAACTTCGTCAGCTCGTACCGCTGGCAAGGTGCGTCGCTTGGCAGGTTTGCGCGAGGCCGCTCCTGATCATAGATGGATAGATGGGATCGGACCGAAGGAGCTGCGCCCCCGCCGACCTGAGCTTGCGTGGCTGACAGAGGAGAGCAACCAATTCGGCACTGGTGCGTGTGGCCGAGTCAATCAAGTCTGCGGGCCCCGCCTGACATCCCGCAGACGAATTCATGGAATACTGCCGCGCGCTGTCCGCCGAGCCGTACATGTGCCTCAACATGGGCACCGGCACGCTCGAGGACGCGCTGGCGTGGCTCGAGTACTGCAACTCGTCCGCGAACACCCACTATGCGAATCTGCGCCGCAAGAACGGCCACGCGGAGCCGTACGGCGTCAAGTACTGGAGTCTGGGGAACGAGGTCTGGGGGCCGTGGCAGGTCGGCCAGATGACGGCAGAGGATTACGCGAAGAAGGCCTATCAGTGGGCCAAGGCGATGCGGTTGTTGGATCCGAGTATCAAGCTTATCTCGTGCGGAGGTGCGTTGTTCTCCATGCCTGTGGCATTTCATTGAGTTGTTTTCTTTGGCAGAGACTGGATTCGCGGATTGGGATCGGGTGACGCTGAAAGTCCTCGCACCTGTTGTAGATTTCCACTCGATTCACTGTGCGCAGTTTCACCTTTCGCGAGTCTTTCTCACCCGATCGCAGTGTATACCGTCAGCGAAGGCAACCACGATGTGAATGTATTTGGTCGTGGGTCTCATCCCTCTGCTGAAGTAACGCCATATGACGGTATCTGCAGCGGCTGCGGCCGAAAAGGGCATCGAGATCAGCAAGTCTCTCATCGAACTTGCCAAGATCGAGGGCAAGTTGGAAAAGGACTTGTCGGTCTGCTTTGATGAGTGGAACGTTTGGTGTGTGCTCTTTCTGTTTTTTCTTTTACGAAAAACAACACTCATCGCGAGTCTAGGGATCCCGTCCGTGGTAGGATGAGTGTACTAGAAGCCTGCTGCTGCGCACTGAAATTATCGCAGCCCCTGGTGAAAAGGGTGCAGAGGAGCATTACGATTTATCAGACGCTCTGGGTGAGTCGTCCGGCGCTGATGACCCACTCTCTGACGCCACAACAGCGGTCGCTTCATGGTTGAACGTTTTCGTCCGGAAAGCAGACGTCGTAAAGATCGCATGCATTGCCCAGAGCGTGAACGTTATCTCACCGGTTTGTTGATCTGTGCCTCTTTTTCTTGTTCTGATAATATCAGATCGTCACGTCTCCTGAAGGCCTATTCAAGCAGGTTCGAGTTCCTGATATCTGCTGGTCCAGCTCTCATCTCCGCCTAGACAACCTACTACCCTCTCCAACTTTTCGCGACACTCATGCAGGGCACGGCGCTGAATATCAACGTCACCACCTCCGCCGCGTCGGACGTCTACTCGGGACCGACCGTCCCGCCCTGGATCGCGAGCCTCGCGAAACACGTCCCGTCCCCGCCCGCGCACGCCTCCGGTCACCCGCTGAACTGGATCGACGCGTCGGCCGTGCTGTCGCCCGACGGCAAGGAGGTCCGCGTGGCGATCGTGAACCGCCACCCGACCGACGCGTTCGAGGTGCCGGTCGAGTTCGGGTACGGCGTAGCGGTGAAGGGGGTGCAGGTGCATGAGGTGTGGGGCGAGCAGCTGGGCGTGCGGAACGATTTCCAGAGCAAGGGCGGGGAGAAGATACAGACGGTCAAGAGCGAGGTCAAATGGAAGGGCACTTGGGAGTGTAAGAGACATTCCTTCCAAGGCAGGTCTGCAGTTCTAGTCCCGGTATCTCTTCTTATGCTTTGGAGCAGTTCTCGTATTTCCACTGGAACCATGAACTGTGCAACCTTCAGGGGCGCCAGTAGATCCCCAAGCTATACCTAGCTTGTTAATTGCGCGAAATTACAATGTGGTTGTATGTTACGTTGAACAAGGACTCAGTTCCGCTCGTCTATATGTCTGAAAAAAGCCATTTTCTGTGTGTTAAGGATCCTGAGAGATGGTTCGATCTATTTTACAAATCCTTGACCACTGCTTGCATATCTAACAGCAAGCTTGTGTTGACAACGGAGTTCTGTAATTGCTCTCACAGAGAGTGCATTTGTTTGGCCATAAGCCAACAGGCATTTTGGCATGGCATGCCAACAAATCACGTATGTACATGCCTGCCTGATTGCAATCAATTTACCGCTGAGCATATGCCCAAGTCGGATCAAGCCGATTTCTGTGAGGGGGCCATGCCGCTTGGCCAATCCGAACATGTCGGTGTCGGGATCAACAATGATGTATCAGCGCTTCACAGGTTCATCAAAACAAGGTGTGCATGTCCACGCGATTTGCCCTGTAGACACATTCTGCGCGCTCCTAGGCTTATCTTTCATCGGGGAAGGTTGACCTCCACGGTACTAGGCCCCTGCTAGGCTGAGATGCGAGGTTTTGGCGCGCCCGTGTCTGGACTGTGGAGCTATCCCGAAGATGATCTAAACTGTCATGGGTGTTTGTCAATAACGACATGTGTGCCAGCAAATCAGGTACCCCCTGGTTTCAGTGTCCCATATCTGACATGTGAGGTCAGCGTGGTACTTCTATCCGAGTGTCTGCTGACGGTCCATTTGATACAGCGGGGTACCCACCAATTGCTTGACAATGATCACTAACCGGGCGGAACTCACGCCGAACAAGCAACGGACCACATGGGAAAACACATATGGGTCTCGACATGGGGCGCATGGAAGCACTCTTCATAAATGGATGGTCTATCATCCAGCCACATTTCAATGACAAACTAGAGCGGGAATCTGGCACTTCCACTCATACGCGCCAGTTCCGTCACCTCTGCTTCGCTCAAACCCAACCCCAGGGGCGGGGCCGCAAGAAGCAGGGCATATTCACCCATCAAGGAGTTGCAGAACGGGAGCGTGTCATCGGTCTCCACCGTATAAGAATCAACGATAGGCAAACCCGGGAAGCCTGAGTACTCACGCAGATGGCAATCGGGTGCTTGTGCTGCAAGTAGTATCGGATGTGATGAGCCTCGAGAGTCGAGACTGTTTTGCATCTGGAATTGGAGGGATGGTCTGTGGGCCATGGCGACGAATGACGGCAGCACATACAGCAGATTCGAAGAGAGGCAGATCTCGATGCACATGTCGTTCTTTCGCACGAATTCGCGGGCTTCGGCATTGAGGAATGTCGCGTGACCGAGTCGATTCGGCAGATATGAGAGCAGCCGCATAGTTTCAGCGTCACTGTTCGCTTCCGTCTTACCCACTCGTCAACTGAGCTCGATGCAGAAGAACAGAAAACGTACCTCTGCGATGTGGAGAGTGATTCCGAGCCCGGCAGCTTTAGCGCGCGCGAAATACTCGCCGAGGATATCCATGTCACCGGCCTACACGATCCGCATTAGCTTTCCTGGCGCGCGAGTGGACGAGCCCCCAGCACACCTGCGGATCCCCACATAGATCGACACCGACAACCCTGCGACCAGCTTTCCTCAGCGCGCACGCCACATCGATGCACTCCTCAAGCACCTCGGCACTCATGCGGCGATCGAGACTGACTATGAGCGCAGCCCGATCAGCCGGATAACGCTCCACCTCGTCTAATACCGCACACACGTATTGCATGCGCGACATCTCTGCCGTCTCACGCGGTGTGCTCCGAAGCTCGAGGTATGCGCACTGGGCCCCGGGGGCGGCGCCCGACACATCGTCACCGAGGAAGTCGACCAAGACGGCCCTCGCCGCGCGACGCAGGCTCGACGGACTCGACGTCAGGGCGTATATGGCCGGGAAAAGACCGAAAAAGTCACCCAGCTGATCCAGCACCACGCCGTCTGCGAGAACTTTGATGCCCTCTGGAATCGATTCTCGTTCCCTTCCTGCGTTGGCCTCCCGCGCCATGTCTTGAAGGGTGGATATGGGAATGCATCCATTGAGATGGGCGTGGAGTTCTGCTTTTGGAAGAGATTGGAGGAATGTGATCTGGAATGGTGTTAAAGAGGAGAGAGCCAGCGCGCAGGGCCCCAAAATGCGATTGGTGGAATGTGACATCCCGGTGTCAGTGGTAATGAAAACCTTACGCAACGAGGTTTTTGAAGGCTGGATTATACGATGTGCGAGTTGTAGTCAACGAGCGCAGGATGAGGGAGAGGATTTACTCTAAGATTTATCATCGATTTATCATACATTTATCATCCGATTAGTCTGCGTTGGCCTCACGTAAAATTTGTTGGTCTCACGCGGGCATATTGCCGTAAGCAGGATGCATCGTGGCCATCAAATCTTATCGCTTCTATCCCGTCACTCCCTCTCAAGTCCGGACTGCCACTGAATGACCGTCGAGCCGAAACCAGACCCCACAACTCTCAGGATGTCAGGCACCGATGTCAGAATTGGCCCGTCGACCATGTGGTCCGTCTGCCATTCGTGAGCATTCGTGACAATGGCGCCAACCGGAAGGTGCGATCCCGGGCGGCGGGTGAATACTTGGCCCAGTATATAACCGCTTTTTCTTCACAACTTTTCACCCCTCCTCTTCCCCTTTCCTTCTCGAAAGACCTTGACGTTCCATGGCCGGCCTTCAAACCGACATCGACGCCCTCGCGGCTCAGTCCGAGGTCATCAAGCATAAGAAGGAGTACGAGAACGAGAAGACCTCGGTCGTGTCAGCGAGCGATGACGCGGAGGAGTGGAAGGGCGATCCCTCGGATGACCCCCACGCCGGACTCGAGTTCCCGACCGACGAGGAAATCGCTACTTTGCGAAGGGTGTCGGACAAGCTGCCCTGGAGTGCTTATCGTGCGTCGTGCTTCGTTTTCCCACACCCGGACACCAGCTGACGCCGCTGCCAGTTATCGCCTCTGTGGAGGCTGCCGAGCGCTTTTCCTTCTACGGCTCGAGCGTGGTGTTCACCAACTATGTGCAGCACAAGATGCCTGCTGGGTCCCGCACCGGCGCCGGTGGACCGCTCGGGCAATCCGGCGCACTGGGCAAGGGGCAGCAGACTAGCACGGGTATCGGCACGTTCTACCAGTTCTGGTATGTTTCCATTTTTCGCTTGTCTATCGTCCAGCTGAACGTTGTTCAGGTGCTACTTGACACCCCTTCTCGGCGCATACATCGCCGACGCACACTGGGGCCGGTACAACACCATCCTGGTCGCCGTCTTCATTGCGCTCCTCGGTCACATCATCATGATCATATCTGCTCTCCCTCCTGTCCTTGAGCACCCGAACTCAGCGTTCGGCGTCTTCATCCTGTCGCTTATCGTCACAGGCTTCGGCACTGGGCTGTTCAAGTCCAACATCTCGCCTCTCGTTGCGGAGCAGTACCGTCGTACGAAGCTCTTCGTGGAGACGACCAAGAGCGGGGAGCGGGTGATCGTCGACCCTACCATGACCGTGTCGCGATTGTACATGTACTTCTACCTGTTTATCAACATCGGTGCGCTGGTTGGTCAGATCACTATGGCCTACTCCGAGAAGGTGCGTTTCCGCAAATCTTTCAGCGTGCAGATGCTTACTTGGTCCCGCAGTACGTCGGGTTTTACCTGTCCTTCACGCTGCCTACCGTCGTCTTCCTCTTCTGCCCAATGGTCCTGCTCGCCGCACGCAATCAGTACCGCCGCAGCCCACCGACGGGATCCATTCTTGCCACCTTCCTGAAGATGTTCGCCTTCGCTTGCCGGGGCAAAGTCTCGCTTAACCCTGTGTCGACGTTCAAGAAGTTGACGGGGCCCGACTTCTGGGAAGGCGTCAAGCCGAGCCGGGTCGCACCCGAGGCTCGCCCGCGGTGGATGACTTTCGACGACAAGTGGGTCGATGAGGTTGCGCGTGGCATCAAAGCGTGCTGGGTCTTCTTGTGGTACCCGATCTACTGTAAGGCGTTGCGTGTGATACTCGGGCAAGATTCTGACGGCTTTCAGGGCTGACCTACAACCAACTGAACAACAACCTCACATCGCAGGCTGGATCAATGGAGACGCATGGACTGCCGAACGACGTGTTGTCCAACTTGGACCCGTTGGCGCTGATCATCTTCATCCCCATCTGCGATCAGGTGGTGCGTTGTCTACTAGTTGCTCGCGGTGGACGATCACTCACGCACTGACAGATCTACCCTGCGCTGCACCGATGGGGCATCAACTTTACCGCTCTCAAGAAAATCACGGCTGGCTTCTTCACTGGGGCTGCAGCCATGGCATGGGCTGCCGCTGTGCAACACTACATCTACAAGGTCCGTACAGTGCTCCTTACTTGGCCTCGCTCCTGCTCACTGACATCTTCCTCAGCGCTCGCCATGTGGCTACAATGCCACCTCATGTGCTGATGCAGCTGGCAATGTCATCCCCGCACCGCTCAACGTGTGGATCCAGACCGGATCCTACGTGCTCGTCGCGTTCTCTGAGATTCTGGCGTCTATCACCGGGCTCGAGTACGCTTTCACCAAAGCACCCAAGAACATGCGCTCGCTTGTGATGTCCATCTTCCTGTTCACCTCAGCCATCTCGGCTGCGATCGGCGAAGCATTCGTCTCGCTCTCAACCGACCCGCTGCTCGTATGGAACTACGGCTCCATGGGTGTTATCGCCGCTGTGGCGGGCATTCTCTTCTGGCTGCACGTCCGGGGCCTCGACAAGCGCGAGGACGAGCTCAACCAGTTGGCGACGGGAACTCTTCAAGCCCCTACAGGATTTGTGTCGCAGCAGGGCCAAGTGGGCAAGGATGAGGCCCTTACGAAGCAAGCATAAAAAGATTTGTAATGAATTGTATGTAACGTACGACGCGTAATGACAGGAGACCGAATCCCCCACGAGACGAGGGTTGCACACGTTTCATAGAGTGAGGAGTCTCACCACATGCAAAGCTTGTCTGGGCACTGCCTGGCGCTTCCTTTTGGCAGAGGGGTTCCTATTTCTCCTAAAACATGTGTTCGGGTAGAGAATCTGTTGGCCTGCCGCCGCTCCAAAGTTTGATGGAGACGCTGGGATCCAAAATACTTAACACCCTTGATCTGAGGAAGGGCTCTTCTGACCAATGGCGCATGTGAGACACTCCGCACACATGCTTTGTTCACAAGGCCATGCTTGGCCATGTCCCTGTGATATTCCTTCCAATATTTATTTCGGGACCTGGGTAAACTTCCAGCCATGTCCGCCGTCAGTCAGCGGCAAGTTCACCAACGCGGTGAATGGTGTACATTACATTCTATCACGAAATGCAGGGTAGATCTTGTGGGTCCTCGATGACATGCGTTATTCAACGTCACTTGCAGGCACGCGTCGAACTATTCCCTCGCTCGGTCTTCATTGGCATTCCTCCTCCCCATCTGATTACAGACTTAAAAGCTGTATGATAATGCAAGGTTATGTTGGCTTCACTCTCTGGTTGAACACTGCAACAAAAAAACACTCAGAATGGCCCATACCAACCCTGGTCGTCTCGAGTTTCAAAGCTGATGTTCTCATTCTCAAATCGTGCTCTTGCGACATATAAAATGCTCCCACGGTGGCTCGGGTATGTGAGGACCGATGCTGTTCATCTACAGGTAAACCGGCTTCCTGTACTCCGACTCCCACCACGCAATTATTTCTCGCGAAGATTCGCCATCTGCGTGCTCGTGGAATGATCGATTTTCGAAAGGGTCTGGATCGAAGGAAAGTGCTTGGGTAGTTTTCATCAGCGCTTGGGTGGGTTTCATCCGCTACTTTTCGTCTTTGGATCAGTTTTCTTCAAAGATGCATCCAATGGAGGCACTTGTTAACTCGTAGGAATATGCGCAATCACCGAAGCGCTCTACGTGCGGGTCGTTGAGATTCAGTGCGGCGCAGCATACCGTCAGATATCAGACGATGGCCCACTCTGGCTGTGTTCTCTACCATTCCCCCTACATCATGGGCAGTAGAAACCCAGTGCACATGGGAAGGATAAATCAAGGATGCACAGGAGAAGAAACGCAAGACTCTGCAGTCATAATATTGACTGCTTTTTGTTAGAAGATACGTTTGCCACATCTGATCATCCCTGGTACCGCAAGGAGTCAGGACCAAGGCCCGGTCTCCCGTTTCCCCTCATCGATCGCCCGCAAGTGTTCTACATTCGATCTACGGTGTGTTTGAAAGATTTTGACTCATTCACTGGTATAAATTCTCGAAGATTGGTAGCGTAGCGTAGGGACCAGTCTGAATGATGACCGTGCAGATATTTGGTTTTCTCGAGTGTAGATCTAATCTCGATCTGATGATCAGTCTCAAGCTCCGGATCTCCCATCATCCTCTTCCCGAAAAGCCACCTTGACTCCTTGTCCTCCCCACCATGCCAGCTCCACCCGAATTCATCAAGTTCGTCGACAACAACTCGTCCGCTTTCATCGAGCGCCTGCGCGCGGCGGTCGCGATCCCCTCCGTATCTGGCGACCCGAGCTTCCGGCCGCGTGTTATCGAGATGTCCAACTGGCTGAACGGGCAGCTGCAGCAGTACGGTGTCACGACGAAGCAGGTCGATCTCGGGACCCGTCATGGACGGCCAGACGCTTCCGCTTCCGCCTGCGATCCTCGGTCGGATCGGCGACGATAAGAGCAAGAAGACGGTGTTGCTGTATGGCCACTTTGACGTGCAGCCGGCAGCGAAGAGCGACGGATGGGACACGGATCCGTTCGTTTTGGTCGAGGAGAAGGATGGGAGACTCGTCGGGCGCGGCAGCACGGACGACAAGGGCCCGATCTTGGGATGGCTGAATGTCCTGCAGTGGCATCACGAGACCAAGACGCCGCTGCCCGTGAATCTGCTCTTTTGCTTTGAGGGCATGGAGGAGAACGGTAGTGAGGGTCTGGATGAGCTCGTCATTAAGGAGAAGGATGGCTGGTTTAAGGACGCTGACTGTGTTTGCATCGTAAGTGTGCGTTCTTGTAACGCTGGAACTTCTGTCGACCGCACTAGAGCGACAACTACTGGCTTAACACTCGGACCCGGCACTCACGTACGGTCTGCGTGGGCTTGTTTACTTCAAGCTCAACGTCACTGGTCCTGGACGCGATCTGCACTCTGGTGCGTTCCCGCGCTTTATGCCCGACGTCCCTCCTGACAATGACTGCAGGTGTCTTCGGACGTACGTTCACGAGCCGATGACCGACCTCATCTCGATCATGTCTAAGCTCGTCAGCCCCACCGGTGAAATCCTCATCCCTGGCGTCGACGACATGGTCAAGGCTGCCGATATGGAAGAGCGGTGCGTGGTGTTCAATAGTAAATGACTTGTTACTCACTTTGCCCAGGGCCATCTACGAGCAGCTCAACTACAGCATTGAGGATGTCGAGTCCGGTGCCGGGGGCAAGATCGCATTGTCCGACGACAAAGCCACCGTGCTTATGGGCCGAATGCGGCTCCCTTCGCTCTCGCTGCACGGTATCGAGGGCGCTTCTACGGCCCAGGTGCCAAGACTGTCATCCCCGCCAAGGTCTCGGGCAAGTTCTCGATCCGGTGAGTTGTAGTTAGCAGTGGTGGGACCGCCGCTCAAGCGAACACAGACTCGTCCCTCCTCAGACGCCCGATTCCGTGGAGCCCCTCGTCAAGTCGTACATCCAGAGCGAATTCGACAAGCTCGGCAGCAAGAACACTCTGTCTGTCCTGCCCTCCTCATCTTCTTCCCATGCTGAACTCTTGTCAGGGAGATCGAGCTTCTGCACAGCGGCAAGCCCTGGGTGACGGACTACAAGCACTGGAACTTCGCCGCCGCTATCACCGCTACTGAGGTACCTCTCTGCTCTGAATACGATCGCACTTGATGACGCCGCGCACAGGAAATCTACAAAACAAAGCCAGATCTGACCCGAGAGGGAGGATCGATCCCTGTGACGCTGACGTTCGCCGAAGCGTTGGGCGCGAACGTGCTTCTGCTGCCGATGGGTCGCGGAGACGACGGAGCGCACTCCACTAATGAGAAACTTGACAAGAGCAACTTCATTGAGGGTGTACGTGCCTTTCCAGCTGGGTGCCTGATTCAGACGCTGATTTGGTCCGCAGACGAAACTGCTCGGAACGTATCTGTACGAAGTTGGTGCGATCAAGGCGGAGGGCAAGTGAATCGAATAGTCGCAAATGTACCTAGTATCACAATGTATCAAAGCAGCCGAGATTCTCGACTCGTGTAACTGCCTAACCAGTCCCCGTTGAAGTTCGTTGAGACTTCGGATTCTACGCTCAAGCCCATACTGTGAATCCGGCCGCTGTGTCATGTGTGTCTCTGGCTGAGTGTCTGAGAGCTTCACATTGTAAGCGGCATCTTTTACACGAATACACCTTCATGGGGGTTCCTATTCCTGCCGCACATTCTTTGGAGATTATCCTCTATCCTTCTGAGTCTGTGATATTGGCGGGCAGCGTTCAGGACTTGTGTGGGATGCGTCGTTGATACGACTCCTTGCTCTGGCTAGACCGCTTGAGTTCCAGGATTTTTTGGCCTCTGCCAATCTGACCTCTCGATACGAGCTAAGCAAGATCAAGTTGAGTAGATGATAGTAGGACGAGTAATGCATCTATCTGCCACTCGAGGATAGCTGAGCACTGCCACATGTCATCATCCATATGACGCAGCCACGTTTTCTCTCTGTCCGTCGCTCACCACCCGGAGCCGGATGCCCCAGTCTCCTCGTTATACATCCCGGACGAGTGCATATCCCCCAAAACTACCTACGCAAGTACTGCCATCTCCCAATTCCTGCCCCTTCTCGTGCTCTTTCTCGTGCCACTGGTCACCCTCCGCCTCGTCGTCCCTGCTGTCAAACGTATATCGGGCCTGGTTACTGTGAATGGGATGGGTCTGTTTGGCTTTGGGTTCTGGAGTGGAGGATCGAGTGCGGATGTGAGTGCGGATGACGACAATCAAACCGGATCCAGTCGAAGGCGAGAGAGGGTACGCACCAGGGCTGCACAACAGGAGCAGCAACGAGCAGGACACGAGAACCGGATTCGGTGTCTTTTTCTGGACTCTTCAATGTGTCCGGGACGCATTGCTTCATGAACTCCACATTGCAGGTATGACGGGCACACTTGTCGGGCAGACCACGCTCACAACGCGTATAGGCTCTGGCTTCCCTATCCGCTCTCACGCCACACCTCTCCGCGCTTCACAATCGCGCTGAACAGTGGGACGTCCCTACACCCGTACTCGACGCGCTACTGGATCTCCTTCACTCGCTGAATACACCATCGAGATCCGCCCTGCGCGCCACGGCACTCGTTGAGGCACTCTGCGCGTCACCCGATTCCTCCTCCGCCTTCTGGGGCATCTCCACCTCGAGCTCAAAGACAGATAAAGCGCGAAAGCGGCCGCATTGCTGGCCACACACCAGCATCAGGACGCGCAGGAGTTCTTCCAGCTGCTGTCCGAGGCGATCAGAGAAGAAACGGCGTTGGTTGCTGCTGACAGTGCTCGAGATCGCGGCTTCGCTGGGCTTTCGGAATCTGAGGCTGGCATGGCAGCTGCCGTCAGCCCGTTCGATGGATTGACGGCAACCGCGCGTCGCGCCTGTGCGCTGCTGTGGGTACGTATCGGCGATCCGGCATTTCTCGTTCGACAGCCTGCAGCTGGCTCTGGAGGGATGGAACGGGGTGGGTTTCTCGTATATCGTTGAGTCATATCCCTTCTCACGCCACGGCAGACAACTATTCACCATCTGCTTACGACTTACACGGAGCTTGAGGTGCTGAAGATTGTCCTTGCCGCCGGTGTTCTCTGCGCGCCACAGCATACCGGCTGACGGCTGAGGCGGCGCAGTTGGCGGAGGGTGTCGATGAGAAAAGGCTGTCGATGGCGATACGACGGCGAAAAGGAAAGGAAAACCAAGAGCAAGAAGCGGAGGGAGAAGGAGAAAGCCAAGGCTACGAGGCTGCTACTACCCTTTTTCTGAGCTGGCCGCGGTCACGCCCCTCTCTTATCTGATAGTGCCCGTCTCCGTCGTCTAAAAGCGACTCGCAGGCAATCATCTTTGGTGGGTCGGGCACTCGAGTCTCGGCGGATTGAAGAGGAAGACCTTGAAGGCGACTGGGATGCTGATGGCTTGTTCCGACCGGATCCAGGCTCTGACGCGTTGAAGGCGTGCGGCTAGACAGAGTTCCTGGAGGCGTTTGTACAAGGCAGAGTATGATTGGCCGTGTGCGTGCATTCGAGATAGTCTGTTCAGCCACTTACTTGCTTTGTGTAGCTTCCGGCGGTCCTGGCACTGCACATCAATCGGTCTGTGCACACCGGATACCGAGCAGCGAAGAATGGGGCCTTTGTCGCTTTCCCCGAGGTCCTCGATTTGACGGCATATACGACATCTGGAGTGCTCACGTCGAGCCGACGACGGGCATGAGCGACCGAGGGATCCTCGGCGCTCCTCCGGCAGCACAATCCTGCGGTCTACCATCTTGCGGCTGCCGTCTGCCATTACGGGCACACTCCTTTGGCCATTACATTTGTTTCCGCCGAGCTCCTGTGCCATCGCAGTCAGGCTCTTCGCCGTCATATTTCACCTGCCCTGCCCACAGTCGAAAACTACCTCCGGTTCCGGACGGGGCTGGCTCAGAATCTCCGATGCTCGCGTTGATCGGTGCGGCATCGAGTCAGTCTTGGCGGAGGGAAGCTCGGTCTTCATGCTTTTTTACGAGCGGTGCATGATCATACTGTGGACAACACATTCCGAGAGGCCGGATCTTGAGGAGTGCTAGTCTCGGTCTTGGGGAAAGTTCTCTCCAGGTCAAGTCCGAGGAACACCCAGTCAAGTTGGAGGCGGAATCCATCTCCCTAGCCAGCCATCATCAACCAGCCCTGGGAACCCGAGGATATGCCACCGTCGTCGACGTCGAGCCGGAACAGGTCACAGC